TCCTTGCGTTTACACATTTATTTTTGTCACTTGATTCATTCAATCTAAAGGTCGTAAATAAATAAGAACGCGTTAGATATACATTCAGAGAGTAGTGCTCTCTTGCGCATCAAAACACAAAAAGCAAGGACTGAGATTTGAATAAATGTCAACGGCTCACTTGTGAAACACAATGTGAAGAGAATTTCGGAACATCCTGATTACTTGCATTCGATTCTTGGTTGTTCAGGGGCATATAGACATTTATTATAAAGCCCAATTAAGAGCAAAAGTAGATTTTGACCAATTGGACTGGAATGGTGGGCTTTAGGCTTTAGCTGCTAAACTAGTCGGCTATAATTGGAATTTGAAAGCCCAATCTTGAAAAGTGAACAATAAAATGTCAAAAATGAACAAAAAGAAATGGCTGCTGGGATTCGATCTCCACGGCCATAATGTAGGGAGATTTTTCAATTTCCAACCAATTGTATTGACATTTGATGTATCCTGCCGTACTTTTAGTATGTTGAAAAATTTCTTCACATGTCGAATTCGTAGCACTAAACTACAGCTACGTTGTTGTTTGAGCTTAGAAATTTCATAAGAACTCTGGTAATATAGGATTATCAGAATACTTAATTCACCTATATGCAAAAACATCAACATTGTCGTTCAACCATATTATAACACGTGATTAATCCACCACATAATGGTGTGCGACCATCACAATAAAAAATAAAATAAAAAAATCCCACAAGTGAATGCGAAGTTTTGAACCGTGATCGTTAATTTTTGCCAAATTGAACCGTGATCTTATAAGTGTGGGAAATATTGTCGACCTGCAAACTCCCTACCAAATGTCTTCATAAGGAGGTATAGCTTAGTTTCCCGTAAAGTCAATTTAGTAGGCGTACGATGTTAAGTTACATATAGGAAATATATAATCACACACATTTTTTTTATACACTTTTGTTTATTTATGTTCTTCGTTTCCGTTTGATTGATATGAAGGTGAAAGATTTGAATTCTGGTAGCTGGCTGCCCATGCAGCAGCAGACAAACTTTGCAACTTCCTATATAAACATTATAAACATTAAAACATATACTGGCCATGCATAATCATTCACAGCTAAGTTCACACATGCAATGCAAATTTATTTCTCAAAAATATATAAATAAATAATTTCTTTATAAATAGTGACTCAGATCGGTCTATAAATGAATATTATTACCATTTAGTTATCAGTTGTCTACAAAACCGAATCATGCTCTACGTAAATGTAACAGATTTCCTTTCCGCATCCACTACAAGAAGGAATTGCCTCACTTACCGCCCGCTTTTATTCCCATGGATATGCCATCCACTACCCGAAGGAATTGCCTCACTTACCGCGTGCTTTTTATTCCCATGGATATGCCTGGAAACAAGAATATTCTTTAGGAATCGGATCGTTGACGACAGTAGGCCGGGAAGGACAGATGCTACTAAAAAGCCGATTATCGCATGATTTTACCCATACTTGACCTATCTAGCCCCTTAAACTCGTGACTTAGCAAATAAAATAGACTATTCCGAACGATTTCCTCATGTCATTACCAGCTACGGATCAGATATGACCGCTGAATCAATGTAACACAACACATCATTGTTTACGGTTTATTTTATTTCATGTTCATATATTAAAATGAAAGCATACAAAATCTAAGAATATTTTTGAAAATTAAGAATTCGAAAAATAATGGAGAGATGAAAGGAACCAATTCTTGCTTGTTGAGCTGTGGAAACTAAACTTGTGCTTGGACAAGAAAACGTCACTTCAATAAAAGGCAAGATTCCAAGGCCTCTTTTCTCGTTGGAAAACTATGCCTCAAAAAATCTGAGTAAACCTACAAAACAACCACCAGAATATTCGTTGGCGAGGGTGACATTGAAAAGTAGTTACTATTCAAAAATAGTCGTCGAGCACTCCTATGATTGTAATTTTTTTCTCATGTTTTGATTATATATTGAGGGAGAGTCGAGTTGGACACTTGGGTCCAGAGATAAATATGTTTAATCAGTTGAATTTCAAATCTCTTCTGACATTTTTTTATAAGAAAGTAGTTCTATACACGTAATTTTTTTTCTCTTTATACACATCTCTCTTTACTTTTTCATTGATTAGTTCAATACCAAAGGTAGAAAATAAAAGAGAAAAATGTGCATAAAGAGAAAAATAGATGTGCAAAATTCATTTCATTTCATAACGCTAATAATAATTCTCTTTACTTAATTGTATGAACTTTGATTGAGGAAAAGCCGAAGAGGGTCTCAATTTTACCTAAAAGTTTTTGTCATAATTGATGAGCCCAAATTCATGAGCATGAAGGTGATAATTTGGATGATGATGTTGCACGAGGCTCCTACCTTTGCTTTCCATAAAGCAAAGTATAAATTACAAGACTGAAGAATGGTGTTCTAACTTCTATGTATGTGTTGTTAAGTAAAGCAAGGAACATTTTGCTTTCCAAATGGAAGCTTGCCCTCTTTCATAAAAAGGTGCGCACCTAATTTTTTTATTTTTTTTTTCTCTCTGCCTCCTTTTTACAATCCCTCTTCGAATCTCTTTGTTTGAAGCTGTCTGATATCAAAATCCAGACTACTCAGTTTAATTAATGTGGCTTTCATTAACTCATCCAACCGGTCCACCTTACACAAAATCAAGTCCTCAAACGGCCTAAACTTCTCTCTCTTAAATAGTCCGAATTTTGGAATCCATCAACTCTTGATACAAAAATCCAGAAAGAATCTCAATTGCCTTTTTACAATAGATGGGAGATAAAAAAATCCAACCAATTTTGAGGTGCCTAATAGCACTCAATTCCCAGCGTACAATTGATGGGAGATAACATAGTAGCACACCGAGAGGCCCCCATAGGCACCAAGTTGAGATTACATCATCCCACATTGCCTGCCTCCCGCAGCACACAACCTTGGCCAGTAGGTCCCAACTTTAACTTCATGAAATCTCTACTATTTGAGTGATTATTGTACGAATTATAAATCGTTTGGTGCATCGAATTTAGAGTAAATTGTAGCTATGGTCCCTGAACTTTACTCAAATTAGAGCAATGGTCATTCAACTAAAAATCCATTACCATTGGTCCTTCAACTCATTAAAACGTGCAGCTATGGTCCCTCAACTAAAAATCCATTATCTTTGGTCCCTCAATTTTAATTCAACTGGAGAAATGGTCCCTTAACTTTATCCCAATTGTAGCTATGGTCCTTCAAACATAACTCGTTTTGACAAAAAATTTTACGTAGTTGACAAAAATGACCATAATTACATACTTTGATGAGTTGAGGGACCCTAATTAAATAAATGGTTATTCCAACATAACATATTTTGACAAAATTTTGAAGAAATTAATGAAAATGACTATATTTACACATTTTGATAAGTTGAGGGACCAATGGTAATGAATTTTTAGTTGAGGGACCATTGCTCCAATTTGAGTAAAGTTCAGGGACCATTGCTACAATTTACTCTCGAATTTATTATTAACAGTGTCAGATTCATATATTCCTATTTTACATGGGCTAGATGAAAGAGCTCACAACCCCTTTAAGACCATTTTTAATAAAGATCAATGACTTACGTGCATTCATTTTTTCATTGTTCACATTCATGTTTATTTTTATACCTCGATTCTCTTTATTATAGTCAATCAAAAGCCTAGCTTTTAAACAAGATCAATGCTTGGTCACTAAAGGATGAGTAATAACTCTACTCAAAATTCTTCGTGTTCGAAACACATAATTTTGTTCTTATAATCAAAACCGTTCATGTTATGAGGCATTTTGTAAAGATCATCTCTAAAAAAAATGAATTAAAACTAATGTCGTTTAGTCAATCTATTATAACAAATACATAGACAATTCGTAATGCTTTTACCAATTCCGTTCATCTGTTTTTATAAAGTTTGATGACTATACAACCTTAGTTTAATTGATTTTTGGCAGAGATGATCTTTATAAAATGATTTATAATATGAACGGTTATGATCATAAACACAAAGTTTTATGAATTAACAATGAATATTTTTTAGCAGAAACTATACACATCCTTTTAAGTAGCCAAATATTAGTCTTTAAAGAATGAATCAAACTGAATACATGTAGTACAGTTGGGAGGGATGAAATGCACAATATGACTGTTTTGAAGTGACACGATCAACTCTGTAATTCTACATTAAAGATTAGGAGCAACGTATACGTATATACCAACTCAAACCATACTCTTAGACAAAATATACATTCACACACCCTTTTTTTTTTCTTTTTTTTCCTTTGATTCACACATGCATGCATTGCATTTCTATCGCACGTCAATGTATATAGTGACTTTTAAGTGAATTAAATTCTACAAGATACATCTATCCGTTAATTTCAATAATGTATGTCAATACACTAGTATATGAGATGCATCGATGTTTGAACGACTAGATTGAAACTAGCAAAATTTAGCCATGCAATCCAGCGATTCAATACAATAATGTATTCCATACACTTATACATTATAGAATTTCTCATAAAAACACCATATTCAATAAGACCCCATGATGATTTGTGGACAAGTCACAAAACCACTTTTTTGGCATTCCAATATGAAAGCAAGAAGTGTCGGTTCAGCTTCAAGGCTTGAAGGAGGGGGTCCAAATCATAATCTCACACATTCAACTTCACCAATCCCCCTCTCAAATTTATAACTCACGTGTGAGTGTGAACCCATCTCAGCCCTCACAAGTGATTTTTTAATGTGATCGGAACACAGAATGATAGACCATGTGTTCTTATACAAGTGGTGAAATTCTTGTATTAAAAAAGTAATAATGTAAAAAATAATATTTTTCACCACTTATTTAACAGCACGTGGTGTACCACTTGTATTATGGGTAGAAAGAAAAATTTTCCCACATGCACACAACAAATCCAAAATCCCCCTCCATTTTAATATAAAAGGCCCAATTGCATTTGCAGAATCAAGATTTCAACTTTTGTTCTCAAATTTACAGTACTCCGGTACTCTCTTCTTTTCAGCTTTTGCTTTTTCATCATTACCCAATAATCTCTCCTCTGCAAGACTGCAATGGCTCCTTTCTGCTCCCAATCTATTGGTTCATGCTTAGCTCTTTTGTGCTTAGTTTTTGTTCAATCCCACTCTGCCATAATATACAGCATGAAGAACCACCACCACCACCACAACTTCCACCATCACAGAACAGCTCCGATGTTCCAAACCAACCAATCCAATTGCGCATTGTTTGAAGGCACTTGGGTCCAAGACGACTCCTACCCAATGTACCAATCTTCCCAGTGCCCCTTAATCATCGACCCTGAATTCAACTGCCAAATGTACGGCCGCCCGGACTCCGATTACCTCAAGTACAGATGGAGACCCCTCAACTGTGAGCTCCCAAGGTAACCAAAACTGCTTTCAAAATGAGATTTTGTGATATGGGTTTTTGTTGGGTTTTAGATTCTGAGCTCCCAAGGTTAAGCAAAAGCACTACAAAAGTGATTTTGTGAAATGGTGTTTTGCTGGTCTCTGATTTCTAGCTCCTAGGATAAGCAAAATCACTTTCAAATGTGATTTTGTGGAATGGGGTTTTGTGGGGTTTAGGATTTTTTTTACGTTTTGGTGACTTTTGGTGTAGCTTGTTGTTGTTGGTAGGTTCAATGGGGCTGAGTTTCTGCTCAAAATGAAGGGGAAAACAGTGATGTTTGTAGGTGATTCACTTGGGAGGAATCAATGGGAGTCTTTGGTTTGCCTGATTTACTCTGCAAATCCACAAACCCAGACTCAAATGGTCAAAGGAGACCCACTCTCAACATTCAGTTTCCTGGTGAGTCCCTTAATTTTCTTTCCTTCTTTCTGGGTTTTCGTATTTTTTTTTTCTTGAAGCAATTGGATGCAAATTCAATGCCAAATAATTGTTAACGATGCATATTTTAAACTACTATAATTATAGAAAAATTAAATCCAAATTTGAGCGTAAAAGATGAACACGCTGCCCTAATCAACTTGCCAAACTCGCATTTGAATTAAAATACAGATTACCATTAATGGTTATAGTTTTTGTAAGAACAGAGATGGTGTGAGATTTTTCCTTTCCATGTCATATAAATGTTCATCAACACATTTTCATATACTATTATTATTGTGGGAACAAAAAATTGCAAGACTCATTTATTAAATGAACAAATTCATTTTGCATTTTTTAACAATGGTTGAAAATGGTCGGTGATATCCACACATCCGTTTATACTTCTTACACACTCCTCTTAATTTTTAACTATCGAATCCAAGGAATTATATAAAATCAGTGACGAAAAATTAACAAAAATGTATGATAGACAAAAATGAGAGTGAAAAGCAATTTCCTTCGAAAATTTAGTCCAAACGAATCACATAGGGAAGATGTTCTGAGGGACCCTTTGGGTCCATTGGTGACGACAGCAGGATAGCACCAGCATGTACGTTGTCCCTAGGAAGTCATATGCTAGGAAATGAGGGCATCGTATCAATCCAAACAGGACCTTATTGAGTTTTGCTCCTATGATGCAGGACTACGGCTTGACACTGCAATTTTACAAAGCTCCGTACCTGGTCGACATAGAAATGTATCAAGGGAAGAGAGTTCTGAGGCTGGAGGACATTTCGGAGAACAGCAAGGTGTGGCGGAACGCCGACGTGCTGTCGTTTAACACCGGTCATTGGTGGAGCCACAAAGGAGGTCTCCAAGGGTGAGCAATCCGTGTGTGTTTGTTTATCTTTTGGTACTTTTGTGCTGTGGTAACCTTAGGGTCAAAATGATAGTGTCTACATTCTGAGTAAAGCATTTGGTAAAGTTGGGTAGAAGTACTTTTAGAAGCATAAGTGCTTTTTGGACCAATTAAAGAACTTAGTGCTTTCTTACATTTTTATCTTGCTGTAAAACTGCATCTCTATACCAAAAAGTTACCAGAAGTTGTAAAACGTTTTATGGGTTTGTCCAAAATGTTTTTGACATGCACCAAAATGTGTAGTCACTTTAGCGTTCTAAACTTATCACGCGTTGTTATGTATTTCAACTTTATAGTATAACAAGACATAATAAATTTAGATACCAAAATCGCGTTGTTATGTGTTTCAACTTTATAGTATAGCAAGACATAATAAATTTAGATATCAAAATAGTAGTGTACTTATTTCATATAAGTCATTCTCGACACGAAAAATTAAGATCATTGTGTTTGAAAACGTGTAGGTGGGATTACATGGAATCAGGAGGGTATTATTACCAAGATATGGACCGTTTAGCTGCTTTGGAGAAAGGGATGAAAACATGGGCGAATTGGATTGACTCGAACATCGACACCACAAGGACCAGAGTTTTCTTCCTCTCTATTTCTCCCACACACTATGAGTCAGTCTCTCTCTCTCTCTCTCTCTCTCTCTCTCTCTCTCTCTCTCTCTCTCTCTCTCTCTCTCTCTCATAGTTGTGTTTGGTGGAAATTCCAATTTTCAATTTTCCATGGTTCATAATTTATGTATTGGAATTAGCTATAGGCATTGCTACCTCCAAGCACCAAATAATTGCGAGAAATGCTCTTAAAGTCGAATATTTTATGAATTTTTTGTCACGTCACAGTTTGACGTCAATTTTCGTATCAATATTATAAAATATTATGCAAAAAATCGTATCAATATTATAAAATATTATGCAAAAAACATAAGGTGACAGAAAGTTCTACTTTAAGAGTCGTCTTAGCATTTCTCTTGATAGCATTTTTAGGTATTTTTTTGGGTTGCTAAACGTTGACTTGATTTCTACCCTGTATTTAGGTCGGTCCACTAGAATGGTCGGGTATAAGAACCCGAGGAAGATATTTTATTATGAAAATTGTATTATCACGTAGTGTTATTAATTTACATAATATGCATAGACAGATTTTAAGGTTCATTTGTCCTGAACGATGAGTGGTCGGGTATGATATTTATAAGTCGATATATGTATTATAATATGAGTGAATGAAACTACAACATGGAGGAATGACCATCACAAGTAAAAACTTGTGTAAATAGACCTATTTTGTTTAGAAAATGCAAATGTTTCAGAGCACTGGCTATGTCGGTGGAAAACAGTACACACATACCATTTTTGAAGAAGACAAAAATTGCTAATGTACGGCTCACCGGAGAAAATGGACCACTTCTCTCAAATCTTTTCCCCCACAAAATTCAATTTCTCTAAATTTTAAAGAAAGATTATACTCTCTAAAGGGTTGGAAGAATAAATTAATATCGGACTTGCGTTTCATGCACATAACACATAAAAAAATTTAAGGGCACATTTGGGGGAATAAATTGTAGATGAGTAAATTTTAGTTATTGTCCGTCAGTTATTATCTGATTCCTCATCTTGGTCCCGGAATTAAGTTTTTGAGTTCTATTGTCCTTAAAAGTTCAATTGTGTCACTTTGGTCAATTTGTCAAATGTCATATGGTTTGAACCATGCTTCGGTGCTGAAAGAATAGCAAAAAGTGCTGTTGAAAACCAATCACAAATGAACATGTGTCTAAATAATTGAGTTCAAAAATATATGATTGGACACTTGTCTGTTTGTGATTGGGTTTCAGCAGCACTTGTTGATCTTCTTTCAGCAGAGAAGCATGATTCATTTGCCTATCAAAGTTTAGAGGCGCAAATAATAGACTTTCGATGGAATGACCAAAGTGAGAATCTGAGTAATTTGATAACATGCTAAATTGACAGCCCAAATGAATGGAATGGGGGTGCAACTCCTACAACCACCAAGAACTGCTATGGAGAAACAGCACCAATGAAAGTGAGCGGAGTAACTTATCCCGGGAGTACTTATCCAGACCAAATGAGAGTGATGGACAGTGTGATCCGGGGCATGAGAAATCCTCCGTCTTTGCTGGACATCACAATGCTTTCAGAGCTGAGAAAAGATGGGCACCCATCAATCTACAGTGGTGATTTGAGCCCTCAGCAGAGAGCCAATCCTGACCGTTCAGCAGATTGCAGCCATTGGTGCCTTCCTGGACTGCCAGACACTTGGAACCAACTCTTTTACACAACTTTGTTCTTCTAATTTTTATATTTTATTTGCACTCTAATTAATTAACAAGTTATATAGGTTTTATTTTATTTTGTGACACATTTATGATGAGAGAGTGCAAAATTTGCAGCTCATTCTTTATCTTTATATTGTAATTTGTAAAGTGATGTGCATATATATTGTTAGTGTTAGAGAGGAGAAATGAGGTTCTTATTTCCTCATTATTTTTCCAATTAATAATTTCTTTAACATTTCTCTTTACTCTTTGGCATCTTCATCCCATTTTCATTAGTTATAATTTAGGTTCAAAGCAATTTCATTTAAGACCTCTTTAACGATATTATAAGGGAATTGTTATTAGCACTCCAAAAGTCTCATTTGGCACTCCAAACTTTCTATAATTAGAAAGAAAAAGACATTTGTGAGGAGTGTAGAATGAGATTTTTGAAGTGCTAATTACATTTCCCCATTATAATCTCTAGATATATTTTGCGTAAGTATGTCGATCCCAGAACTTAGCCAAATTGATTAAAACGGTGTGTTCTCCACAAAAGATCCACCACTGATCATTGTTGGTTCAACTGCCAATTGGGCCTATTATGTCGATTTTCGAATCAAACCTAGCCCAAGTTTGGAGAACAGGTAAAACTTTCCACCCTTCTATTAACCTTATTCTCTCAAGTTTAGCCTCTAGCTAGGGTTATCACCTAAAACTCGAATCCTTAAATTTGTGAAGGTGGGTATAACTACGTTGGTTTGATCCTTGTGCAACACACAAGTTAGGTAGACAGTGGAAGCCACATAGGAGCAAGGAGGTGCAGTCGCACCTCTGGTCGTAGGAAATCGACCCTAAGAGCAAGAATCTGCTCTTCTGATTCCTCTGAACATGCACGGAATGGTTTCTTTTTCTACTTTTTCTACCCCCACGACACCATCATCTTCTTCTCTCCCTTCTCATGGATTCCTGTGACTATGACCCCATTTGCTGAGATCTCTCCTGGTCTTCAAGAACACCGTAACCACATTGAGTTTATCAAAACCCATCATCCTATTTTCCAATCTTTCTCTTTTCTCTCAAAATATTGAATCTTTCTACTTTTCTGTTTGTTGAGTTTTGTTTTGTTTTGTTTTGTTTTTTTTGTTGGGCGCATCAAAAGCTTGCATGTGTACGGATTGGATAAGGGGAAGATAAATGAGGTGGATTTGTTAAAGAGAAAATGGGTAGTACATGGAGCTTCCAACTGAGGCGCTTCTGAAATGAAATTTCCAGTTTCCCGAGTGCTCCAAGGACAGGTCAATGGCATAAAAATTCAGCTCCGGCTTTCACATGCATTCCCTCTATTCTTTGGTGGACGAAAGGATCACAGTGTCTATTAGTTTTAAGGACTTTTAAAAAGAAAAAAAATGGAGAACATTCAATCATATGAAGTTTTATTCTCACAACTTTTCATTTTTTTCTTGTTCGCTATCTCGTTATGCTGATGATGAAGAAAAAAAACGAAAGGAAGAGAAACGTCAAAAAGCACACCTCCACATCTTCTGCTATAAGATCTAATTACGTGCAGCTTTCCATTGTTGCTGCAAATTTATAGCCAGATCTACAAGAGCATATAACATATCTACGCAAGCTTTAAGATGGTCCTGGGATCAAGAAAATGAGACAACCTGCCAACGCGGAAGGAGGGAAGTACAGATGCGAGTTTGTGCCACCCATGTTAGGCTTCTGTAGTTCAAAATAAGCAATACGGTAAGAAAAAACTGCAGTTGTAACTGGAAAAATAAACATTTAGAGTCCTCCAGAAATTAGAGGCAGGGGAAAAGGATACAAAGAGGTTTACCCCCATCTGTTTTCTCACACTCCTACTACATATGAAATTTTGAAATGCCTGCTTCTTGTGATAGCTATTCAACATGAATGCCATCTCGGATGCTTTTGCTTTACTTACATATCAGCTCAACAAACTCCCCTAAATGCAGAGATGAAAGTAAAATTCAATGGACAGATTGATCATTGATGATAAAGAATGAACAAAACTAACTATTACAGTTTTAAATAGATCCGATTATTGTTGCTTCGTAAATTAATTCTCTCTAAGAAGTATAAGATTTGTAAATTACATTAACATGAATTTATTTTTTTAATTTTTAAATGATATGCAATCTATATAAAACAGAGATATTGTGAGGGACAAAACTGAAACATATATTCAGTTAACATTTGTTAAAACGAAGCATCATATCCTCTGCATAAGATGTTACATGGTAAGAGAGAACGTAAATTAAAGCTCATCTGCAGTATTCAATTAAAGATCTATTACCAGTTTACATTTGTAAGGAAAAGCGTAGATACACCAACTTGAAGATGATAATGGCATTGAAAGAAGATGAGATATCAGGCCACCGTATTCAAACCACGCCCATATGACAAAGAAATATATCATCCTGGGGTTCCATCATCTTCCTTTAGAGGTGCATCATCTTCAAGCCAAAAATGCTTAGGAAATTGATGTGAGCTAACATCCGTTGCCTCAGACAATCGCCTCTTAAGTTCCACAATAAGGACTCTGCAGCAATTACGAATTTGTGTTTGTAAAGAAACTCATCCGCACCAACATAAAAGCCACCATATAAAAACGAAATCAGAATGATTAAAAAAAAGAAATCGTCCAAAGGTTACCTACATGATATATCTCTTGCACCAGCGTGAAGATTACTAGGACATCGGAAGAAAACTATAAAAGCATGCCACGGCTGTTTACTCTTGCCAGACAGGCCCAGTAATTGATGCAAGCTAGCATCTGTTCCCTTGGGTAATTCTAGTTTACAGTTCCACACCACAGTTAGCTCGCTGCCGCATCCACAAAGGCCATAAATGAGTCTGTCCTGTCACATTGTATTAACAGATACTTAGGATTGATTTTACAAGAGTCTTGATAACTAATGCTGATTCACGCAACTGAGAAACGGTAAAAAGAATACAGAACAGTTGAATAATGCATTACACATGAGCTACTGAGAAACTTATCTGCAGCTTTGATTCTCAAAACTTTCAAAAACATTTCCTATTCTCTGCCCCTCCCTCCCCACTCACTCTCTCTCTCTCTCTCTCTCTCTCTCTCTCTCTCTGTGTCTCTCATCAAGAAGTTTATGTTGGAGATAAATAAAAAGAACGAAACGAAAAGAAACATCAGAAAACACACCTCGAAAGATTTATCTGCACACATGTTTTCCATTTGTCAGCTACGATTATATGATTGGAACCACAAGAGCATAAAGTATCTACGCAAGCATCAATCTGGTACCTGAATAAGGAAAACGAGACAGCCTGCCAATGGAGGAGGAGGAAAGTGTGGATGCAAGTTTGTGTAGGCTTCTGCAGACCAAAATAAGCAGAATTGATGGTTTTTATTATGTTGATCAATATGTGTCTTCTTTGCTGCAAAGAAAAAATTGATCAATATGCTATGATTCTTATTTCTATTATGTCTTTTATTTTTCAAACTATTGAAGTTAATTAGATGCAAACTACCTGAGAGTCAAATGCCGAAAAGAACAACTTTGTATGAGAGAGACAGAGCTCATACAGATATGATGACTTGTTTGCCTATCTTTATTAAAGGAATGTGAGATATCTTGGCCCAATCTTCTCCCATCTTATCCTCATACCTTTTCTCCAGGGCGGAACAAGAGTAGATCTTCAGGGAAGAAAGAGATGGCGGCAAACCGTTTTCTGGCAGGAATTGGAGTTTTGGACAATCTTCAATAGTTAGATATTGAAGAGAAGTGAGGTGTAGAAGTCCCTCTGCTGGAAGGAATTCCAGACTTGGGCAACGATAAATATTTAGATATTGAAGAGAAGTGAGGTGTTGAAGTCCCTCTCGTGGCAGGAATTCCAGACTTGGGCAATCGTCAATAGTTAGCTCTTGAAGAGAAGTAGGGAGCAGCTGTTCCTTGAGCAACGGTGCCCAGATCTCGCCAGCAATTGTAAATCGTTTAAGGGAGACAAGTACTTGTAATCCCCACTCCACTGAAGGCTTCACTTTGTCGCAACGTGTAACCCTAAAATATTGCAGGTTGGGAGGCAAACCCCCTTGGGCAAATGATACAAGATTTGGAAGATCGTCTAATCCCAATCCTTCAAGGGCGGTGAGGGTGCGAATTCGTACGGGGAACGACTTCAAATTCTTGCATCCCCAGACTGACAATTGTCTCAAGTTGGGAGTGGGCAATCCTCCGTCCGGGAAAGACGCCAGATTTGGACAGTTGCGGATTTCTAGCCGATTGAGATGGCTTAGGTTCTGATCAACTCCTTCAATAGAAAAGGATTCCAGATTCTCACAACCACTGATTGAAAGAGATGAAAGTTTGGGGAAAACGCCCAACGGGAAGGACCTCACTGAATGAAAACTCGTGATTATCGCCAAATTCTCAAGTGACGACAATTCGGCCATCATCTCATGAGATAAGAACTCTAATGACGACACGGTTGGGCAATTCCAGAGATCCAAACTTCGAAGACATTTCATTTTGGGCAGGCACTGTATTGCATCAAAATTAGAAATTCCAAGTGTGGACAAGAACTTCTTCTCTACTCTCTCTATTAATGGTAACAGACCTGGGCATCCTCCAATATCTATTTCCAATGAATTCTGTAAGTAGTCCATGTTAATACTGGCCCATTCATCATGCAGATGTAGATATTCACACCTATACACCCTAAGTGTTTTCAAGCATGCAAGACGATTGGGCAAGTATCCTCTCAGCTTCGGACATTTCCTTATTATCAGCTCTTGGAGACAAGGAAAGTCTGAACATTGACCTCCACTTGGACTCGGTAGCCAATCCTCCCACTCTGGCATCTCCTCAAACTCTAGCGTCTTCAGAGACCGAAATGGCTGAATTACAGAAGCTCCATTAAGATCAACATAGAATTCATCACCAACTTTCGTAACAAAATTCATCCTTTCGATGCGTAGCTCTTTAAGAGTGGGCAGCTGCCCAAAACTTGGCAAGGACAAACAATACTTACAATCACTGATACACATGAACTGTATGTTCGAGAAGGAATTAGAGTTTCCTAACCAATTTGGGAAGCTGAACCCTCCATAGAATCTGATAGTCAGTTTCTCCAAATTTGCAGAAGGTTGGAGCTTGTCAAGCACATCTCTCTCCTTTTGGGAATCATCGGCTTCCTCCACATCCCATGCCAACTCTAAGTCCTTGATTTCTTTCTTATCCTTCAAATTGGCTTCCAATGCATCCACAACATGAACTCCATTGTGCAACTTTGAAATACGAAGTCTTCCTTGAAGATGCTGCAACTCCCTTAATTCTCCAATGCTAGACCCGGTAGATTTCCCCACAACGAAATCAGTTAATGTTCTCAAACTTTTTAGTCTTCCAATTTCCACTGGCATCCCTTGTATTTTTGTTCCACTGACATCGAGGTAATGCAAACTACTCAATTCCCTCATATCTGCTGGTAATTTAGTAAGGGACCAGCAACCTGCCAACGTTAATGTCCGTAAATTTATCAATTTTGTCATGTCTGCTGGCAGTTCAATGAGAGCACGACAATATGACAACAGCAACGTCTGCAAATTGTAGAGAGTGCAAACTGCACCAGGTAAGCTTACAATTGCCGTCCGGGAGAGATCCAGGTAGCGCAGGTGAATGAGATTGCCCACAGAATCAGGTACTTCAGCAACATTTTGATAACGCGACAATGATAAAACCCGTAAACGTTTCAGGGATGGCAACAAATCTTGTAGGAACTTTTTACTTATGTGGAAGAACGAGTCATATAATAAGATAGGTAGGAAGGTCCGCAGACACTTTGCCCCATTTAATGGCTCAAATTTTTTAGCAGCATCAATTTCTCCCCTAGCATATGACAAATGACGAAGTCTTTTAACTTCTTGTGATTCCCTCTCTTCCAACCTGAGAAAAAATCCCCTAGACATGAACTGACCCAAGTCGTTAAGAAGATCATGCATTGTGAAACCATGCTCCCCTGATTTATGAAGTAGTGATCGTGATACCAGTTCGTCAAAGTAACTTCTAGCCGTCTCTTCCATTCTTTGCCCATTTAAACCTTGTGGAATTAAACCTTCGGCCATCCAAAGTAGAACCATATCTTCCTTCTTGAAAAAAAAGTCTTTTGGAAGTAGTGAACAGTACACAAAGCACCGTTTGAACTGAGCAGGGAGATAATGATAGCTCAACCGCAGGGCTGGAAGGGTACCACTTTCATCATCAGGTAGCTCCCAAAGTCTACTATTTAATAATTTATTCCATTCCTTGAAGTCTCTCTGGCAGCGTAATAGACCCCCGAGTGTTTCTGCTGCTAAAGGCAACCCATTGCACTTGCGTGCAATTTTCTTGCCAATTTCTTCCAAAGTTGGATGTGCATTGTGGTTTTTGTTTCCAAATGCATGGTTTGCAAGTAACATCCAACAATCTTCGTGCGACAAAGGCTCCAAGTGTTGAATGGGAACATTATTCATGTGAGATGCGACCTTTCCGCTTCGTGTTGTCACGATGACTTTACTTCCCCTTGCCCCGGAAGTAAAAGGAGCCTGCAGGCGCTTCAATTCAGAATAGTTGTCATTCCAAAGGTCATCCAACACAAATAAGAATTTCTTTCCCCTCAGCTGTTCTCTAAGTTCAACTTGAAGCAAATTCAAATCAGCCATCTTACAAGGTTTTGAAGTGACCGACTCGAGAAGAGTTTTAGTCACCCTAATAACATCATAATCTTCTGAAACACATGCCCAAGATTTAAGGGTAAAGTGCTCGTTCACCTTATCATCGTTGTAAAGGGCTCGAGCAAGGGTCGTCTTGCCAACCCCGCCCATACCAACAATGGTGACGATAGATACATCATCGTCGCTCGCATCATCAGAGAACAAGACTTTTGATAAATTTTCTTTATCTTCGTCTCTTCCATATACAAAAGGTTCATGAATCAAGGAAGTTGTTGGAGTTCTTTGTGAAACCTTCCTCGCAACAACTTCTGTCAGACCAAGGGCAACTTTCTGTTGCACAAAGTCATCCAGCCTTCGTAATAACCCTTGTATCTCAACATTCATGCTTTGATAAAAATGACTACGAGAAGTAGAGAAGAAGTTCCACACCTTGTTGGTGAATTTCTCGGTTTGACCTTCACCTTCCACCTTGCATCGCAAAGCTTCAGTGTCGATCTCATCCAGCAAGTCCTCCGCGTCCAAGACAGCATGTTTGAGCTCGTCGAGCCATTCTCTCACAGCATGGTTTGAAATTTGCTTCTCTTCCGCATCATCGAGGACTGCAGAAAGCGTGAGCAGCGTCATCTTCAGTTTCATGAGGAGGGGTTCATCCAGCTTCTTCTGCCGGAATAAGTCACCGAAGTCGGCTGAAGCAATTCTGTCACACAGCACCTGGATGGAAGCGGAGATAAAAGCCTGTCCGATCAAAGCGGCAGCCATTTTTCTCTTGGTTGCCTTAGGCCCCGTTTGGGATTGAGGTGATTTAAAAAAAAGCCACTGTGAAAAAAAGCTGAGGGTCATATTTGTGTTTGGTAAACTGAAAAAAAATGGCTTATTTTGGAAGCTGCTGTGAGAATAAGCTGAAAATCAAAGGAAAAGCTGAAGCTGCTATTTGCTGCTTTGAAAAAAAGCCAGTTTTTTCAAAGCACACGGAGCTACAGTGCTCCTTTAATGAAAAGACACACTATCATCCTGCTTTTTTTTCCAAAAGCACTTTCACAAAAAAGTTTACCAAACACTCTACTGGCTTTATTTCACAGCCGCTTATTCTCACAGCACAGCCGCTTATTCTCACAGCAGCTTTTTTTCAAAGCACAGCAATACCAAACCAGCCCTTAGTCTGCCAGTAGCTCAATGTAGAAGAAAGGCTTTTGAGATTGTAATTATTGATGCATCCCTCGTAATGAACTTGTGATTGGTCAGTTGACCAAAAAATTACTTGTGATTGGTCTGTTGACCATAAAAGAACTTGTAATTAATCTTTTAGTTCAAAAGTTGTCCCATGGATCCAGATCCGGATCGTTTTATGGGTGGCCTGCGGACTACAACATTATGGCCGTTGATTCAAGGTGGAAGCAAATCGTGCGGCCTTAAAATTTTTAATTTACACAAACAGCGAGGCGCTGCTTAATGGTTTCCAGATGGTGCTTCTCGTGAAAAACGAGGCGCTCTCTTTTCTGGGAGAGTGCCACTGCTAAACGGTGGTAATCACTAGTTAAATCAGAACATGTGAAATTGTGAGATAATAAAAAGAGAAGATAAATGTTTAGAGGATTTTTTAAAATTGAAACTTTTCAATTACATTTTGTTATTTTATAATTTAATATTAATTTTCTTGTTATTATAAATTATTTATGAAATTGATTTATTTTGAAATTGAAAATGATCAATGTAATCTTTGAAAATGGTTGTCATGAATTAATATAATCATTCTATTACAATTTCGTTAAAAATTCTCTTATATATTTGTCAAATAAATAGGTCTCCCAAATTTAATTAAGTATTACTATATAATTTTAATTTTGAAATTAAAAAAAATTAACTTTTTAATGTCAAAATTAAAATTAAAAAAAATTCTCCCGTCGTCTTCGTCGAGATGGCTTGGCTGCCATGGCAGCCCCTACCCGGGTGGCTCCATTTTTGACACTCGACCCATTCAAACATAATCGGCGCCACCTTACAACCCAGCCGAATTACCAAGATAAAAATCCAGTCGAACCAAACCATCTTCTCCGTTTTCCGACTCTAGCGTCGCTGACACCCACCTTCTTCCCACCGTATCCTCCGATCTAATGTGCACCCGAGGCCTACATTGACGGCCCCACAGCAATATTTCCGACAAGTAGCAGAAAATTTCGGCAAAACCATCCGTATCTTTATGGGGAGCATGGGACGGCATCATCGTGGCCGTTAACTCAAAGTGGATGCGAATCGTGCGGCTATTAATTTTTTTATATTTCCCAAATAGCAAGGCGCCAAGGCGGTGCTTAATGGTTTCTAGCGGGTTTCTTACTGCTTCTCACACTAAACGAGGCGCTCTCTTTTCTAATTATATCACCAACACGTGAAATTGTGCTGTAAGTAAACACTAATCAATAACTTTTATTAATATTTCATTAACTATTAATAAATAGGAAACTTCCTATCCTCTGTTCCTCTTCGTTTATCGGAAAATCACGTGACAATCCCACCTCTTCTTTTGAGTTGCAATTATATTACCGGAAAATCAGGTGAAAATCACAATTGTTTTGAGTTTGTAAATTTGTAATCATATAATCATGTGAAAATCTTGTGATTGGTCTGTAGTTAGTCTTTGGTCAATCTATTGTAATCCACCTTTGAATAGTTCTCGCCATTTAGTACTACAGTTTAGTGGTATTCTTCTTCATTTGAAAGTAGAAGACCTTAAGTTCGAATCTCGTGAATAACAAAGTTGATACCAAATTACACTGCTTATTGTGTGACTTAATTGAACTCTCTTTCTCCTCTTAATGTAAAAATATTGATGTATTTAAAAAACAAAAAAAAAAAAAAAAAAACCTTTTAATAACCCTCTGATTTCACTTTTAAAGGCCACTGGGGGACAGCTGTTGAAACTTTCTATGTCCTCACATGGGGATGGGCCCAGTTACACAACACTTGTACAGGCCCACATGAACAAAATGTTTTTTATTTTATTTTTTTATTAAGAGACGAAGTTAATTAAGATGCAAGTTGCGGTGCTTAAGAAAGATTGACCTCGTTAAAACTTTGTTCGATGAAAATATGTGGGACTAAACCCCGAACAAAGAAAAAAAGATAATTCCTTTTTTACTAACTTAAAGTGTCGTGATATTCAAACCTTTATATATTAAATTTTTTTCATCTCATATTTAAAATGAGGATTGTGAGATATTTTCATTCTTCTATTAATCGTCTTTCTGTTAGAACCTTCAGTAATGCATCATGTGGTGCCTACGCTCTATAGCTCATGTGAACATTAAAAAATTAAAAAAATCTATAGCTCATGCCAACATTAAAAAATTAAAAAAGAATTCTCACTTTACTACCTATCCTGAAATTCCAACTTTTGAAACTTCCTATGTGCTCACTTGGATTGGGGATGCCGTCTAGTGACACATAAATTGTACAGTGCACATGAACAAGAATTGTTTTTTATTTTATTTTTTAATTAAGAAATGAACTTAATTAATATACAATTTGTGATGGTTGAGAAAGAGTGACTCGTTTAAAACTTTGCTTGAGGAGACTATGTGGGATTAAAGCCCGACCAAAAAAGAAAAAACATAATTCTCATTTTAGTATTTTGAAATATCGTGATTTTAAAATTTTTATACATTAAGTTTTTTTTTTTATCACAGTCTCATACATAAAAGTAAGGATTGTGGAACACTTTTATCTTGACTATGCGGGACCTACCGTGCCACGTTTTTGCATAGTCATCGTCTAGTGGCATACCATGTCATCAATTAAATTAGTATTTGACAAAAAGACAAACATAAGTATGAAAGTGTCACAAAATTTAAACTTTAGGTATGAAAGTGGGATGGAAAAAATATCAAGTATGAAAGTTGGAATTTCATGATACTTTAAGGTATTAAAGTGAGAGTTACCTATATTTTTTTAAAATTTTTTTTAATGTCCATGTGAGCCCAAATTGATAGGTGGCACCTAGTAATTGTAAACGTAAGTGCAACGTCACGGGTTAACAGAGGTTTCTTACGAAACTAACATATGTATGAAAGTGCCCTACAATTCTCACTTTAGCTTACAAGACTGATGAAAAAAAAAAAACTAAAATGTATGAAATTTTGAAAACTACAAAATTTCAAGGTAAAAAAGTAAGAATTACTGGAGAAAACAATTTACCACAACTCAAAGCAATTTCATATTTACTCAACGAGAAGCTGAGGTTGGAGACTATAGCTTGATGTCGTATTGCAACACACATTCCACTCCTCAGTCTAAACTCTAAACATGAGCCATTAATGGAATAGAGAATGAATTAGTTGTCGGTACCTCCTTAATTCGGCAATTAATCTCTTCAATTTGGGATTTTCTCGTGTTTGTATTCATAATTTGACAACTTACATTGAGCAAACAATTAGATTTAGTTTGAAAACAAAACAAGCTTTTAAGAGATTTAGAATTATCATTCAAGATGTGGTCAAAAATGTTGTATCCAAGGCGCTATTCTTCCTACCGGAAAAAGACTGCTATTCAAAATTTGGCTTCATTTTCCACAAACATCACGAACTAAGCAAGTATGCAAGATCCATTGCATCCAAGTAACTTGGGGAGCTCACCAGTGCTTAACCTGTTTCATGGCTCTTCCGATGCACCATTCGAGTACTCCTCACGAGCAACACCCGATGCTCCATTTGATAACCGGCTTATGCTGTTGGAACTTGAATATGTTGAGTATGTGGAAGCAGGGTTTCCCTGTGAATTCCGAGTCTGTGCAACCGTGCTAATTCTTGTCACCTTGAGGTGAGTCTTCCTACCCTGCGGTGGAGCAACAAATCACATTATCTATTAGTCTCTCGTTTAAGGACGTCACAGATAAAAACTGGGGAAATGTCTACTATCTGAAAATATGACGGATAATTACCTTTCCCATACACTTCTCCAGATGAGGAGAAAACCTCCCATCCACGATAGACCGACCGCAATTCATGCACTCAAAACACTTCATTGGTTGCAGAAGGATGATTTTGCCCAAATATGTCAACCACGTACTTTGCTGTTTGCTTCACCACTATTACTAGGATCGCTATTTGCTTCACCACTATTACTAGGATCGGCTACCCTCACCCATGCATAGGCTGACAACCTTAGTTCTTCCTCTTCTCCAAAATTACGATCAAGACCCAAGTTCGCTATTCGATGACACTTAGCCATTAAAGTCATTAGACCTAGTAATGTGTGATTCCAAAAGGTCAAAGAACAGATGAATGTGAAATCATCTACACATGGACAGAGTGCATCTCCTTGTAATTTTTTATTTTAATTCTTCTATTGACAAGACATTATTCTAAACTACTATAATTTAAGAGGTGGAGGATACGAACTAGGCTGCAAAGGGAATGCACAATGTCGTATCCAATTGGCCTAACCCAGGTCTCCATCTCAAAGCATCTAAACCCATAACAACTCAAAACCCACAAAAATGTCCCAACCCATTTCTCAAACAAATTCAAACCAAAAGTTCAAAGAAGCAAAAAGAAGCAAAAGGAACTGCTTTAATTGTGAAGGGGAAAATACCAGAGCATCGGAAGAAGAGGACATATCATTTCTGTTGTGCCTTGGCCCGTTCATCAGTGCGGAAACGAGATTCAGATTACAACCTCACCAAAAATCACACTCAGTTGAACAGAATAAAATACAAGAAATAAAGACACCGAGAAATTTACGAGGTTCAGCAAAAATCCTGCCTACGTCCCCGGAGAGATATTGCTCTTCACTATGAGAATAACAGTACAAGTACACATGAGTTAAATCAACATAACCCAATCCCAAATCCCTTGCACACCCACTCATAGAATTTTCCCAAGAGCCTCACTTTACCCAAAGAGTTCTTTCACTAGAATACTTTTCACTCTAGCTCTCTTGATTTTCTCTCACCCATGCCCATGCTGCTTTCCTATGGGAGAGCCGAATGCTCTCCCCCTTTGGATGCTCTCTGATGCCTTCTCAGGAGAGAGCCGAATGCTCTCTCTCTCTTTTCTCCACTTCGGCTCCTTGCAATTAAATGGACAGAAAAGTGAGTCAACTTCTCCTTTTTTTCATAGACACAATGATGATCCATCATGCTCCCTTTTCTCAAAACCCAAAACCACTTTCGGCATACAAATGGGAAATGAATAAAAAATGCCAAAACAAAGGAATCCCATGAAACATCATTGTTGTCTTCCACTATTAGCCAAAATGAGATATGGACATATTTGGTCACTATTCCGAAAGCATAACACACAAAGTCACTTAATTGTTAACAGCTCAAAATATGAGCCAATCACAACAATCTCCACCTTGGCGAATATACTGTGCAAACAATCCTTGCACCCATCACCAAAGTCCATTGGCCTTACGTACCAGCATACACACACTGAATAAACCTCGTTGGTCCTGTTCCGATTCAGTCACTGCCAATGCATGTGCAGCTGCTGCAAGCTAAAAATCACAATTTAGCTTCAGACAGGATCTCGACACATCCTCGTCTCCTCCAACAGTTTTTTTTCCCCTTCTTTATTGTCTGCAACTTGGAAACTCGTCAGTGCACCCGTTTCCAGCAACAACCCATCGAGCCAGACAAAATTCCCCACACTTCTCTTCCTTTAGGACCATCTCATCACCTGTGAATCCCATAGCTCCACCTGCTGCAAATCCCTTGCAACACTTGAGACTAAACATCACCAGGAGAAGTGTTGCTTCGAGTACCTAGAGGGCATACTCAAAGTCTTCCTCCATAAACTTGCTACAACCCGGCCTTGCACCGTAGCACTGTGGACCCTTGCCTCCGGAACCGGATCTGAACCTGCTGTCTCTCTCAGATCCTCTTTCCAATTTTCTTCCACGATTCCGACCTTTAATAATTTAAGCAGTCTTGTGCCCACCATCATCTATGGTCTCCTTTGTGTATCATTCCACACCAAAGAAGTTTGCTCCTGCTCCAAACTTACTGTAACTTTCCATGCAGTAAAGTTTCACAAGGTTCTCGTACAAATCTGAAAGTGAGGTAAGAAGAAAGAGGCCTTTGTCTTCTTCCTCAACATCAACTTTCGCAGTTGATCTAAGCATCCCTGAACACGGCTTCCATTTCTTCAGGCTTCCATTACTCTCCTTTACCAAGAGTAAAACTGCCTCTCCCATTAAACTGCTCAACTGAAAATTCCATGGTGAACAACAAATCTGGACCTCCAACGAACCAAGCCTCCAACGATGCTCTGATACCAATTGTTGTGCCTTGGCCCGTTCATCAGTGCGGAAACGAGATTCAGATTACAACCTCACCAAAAATCACACTCAGTTGAACAGAATAAAATACAAGAAATAAAGACACCGAGAAATTTACGAGGTTCAGCAAAAATCCTGCCTACGTCCCCGGAGAGATATTGCTCTTCACTATGAGAATAACAGTACAAGTACACATGAGTTAAATCAACATAACCCAATCCCAAATCCCTTGCACACCCACTCATAGAATTTTCCCAAGAGCCTCACTTTACCCAAAGAGTTCTTTCACTAGAATACTTTTCACTCTAGCTCTCTTGATTTTCTCTCACCCATGCCCATGCTTTCCTATGGGAGAGCCGAATGCTCTCCCCCTTTGGATGCTCTCTGATGCCTTCTCAGGAGAGAGCCGAATGCTCTCTCTCTCTTTTCTCCACTTCGGCTCCTTGCAATTAAATGGACAGAAAAGTGAGTCAACTTCTCCTTTTTTTCATAGACACAATGATGATCCATCATGCTCCCTTTCTCAAAACCCAAAACCACTTTCGGCATACAAATGGGAAATGAATAAAAAATGCCAAAACAAAGGAATCCCATGAAACATCATTGTTGTCTTCCACTATTAGCCAAAATGAGATATGGACATATTTGGCCACTATTCCGAAAGCATAACACACAAAGTCACTTAATTGTTAACAGCTCAAAATATGAGCCAATCACAACAATTTCTTCATTTGGAAGTGACATGGCGGAGCTAAATTGGTTTTATAAACCTACCCAAAATACAGAAAATTTATCAAAACGACATGGCAGTTTTGTCCTTCATTGCCAGTTAGGCAAAAAGCTAGCCAGTCACCGTATCAGGTGCTTCGCAAGAACTCTGTTCCTCGTCATTGGTGTAGTTTTCAGCATACTCGTTCTGTCTGACCTTCTACGAGTTTTTGATTTTCCAGCGACGATGAAAAGTCAAGTCCTTTGGCTCCAACGATGGAAAAACAAAGTCAACAAAGACCCCTAGGTCACCTTTACCGCCTTATCTGTGTCGTTACTTTCCATTGGCTGAGATAAAGCTGCCACCAAAAACTTCAAAGTTACTTTCATTATTGGTGTTGGCGGGTTTGGCAACGTGTACAAAGGATACATTGACGGTGGTGCCAATCATGTTGCTATCAAAAGACTGAGACCTGAGTCATCACAAGGGGCCGGGAGTTCAAGACAGAAATTGAGCTACTCTCCCAACTCCACCACCGCCATTTGGTTTCACTCATTGGTTACTGCGCCGATAATGGCGAGATGATCTTGGTTTACGATTACATGGCGCGCGACTCTGGATGACCATCTGCATCGCACCGGTAACCCTAAACCTCTTCCTTGGGAACAATGGCTTCAAATTTCTATTAAAACAGAGCGAGGGTTGCATGCACTACCTTCACAGCGGTGCCAAGGGCTTCACTGGCGGAGGGAAGGACCAGGGATTGCCTGGGCCTATCCTGGGTTTCTAAAACAAATATATTTATTAGGGAATTATGCATCTTTGTATTGCTTGCTTTCTAAAACAAATATATATATTAGGGAATTATGCATCTTTCTATTGCTTCAAGTCCAGTTTTCCAAGTTTCAAGCATAACCCCATCTCCCAATTAGCTTTAATATTTTATCTATCTCCTTAACATAAATTAATAGCATTTAAAATAAAGCAATATTTTGCCTTTCTTTGAATAGAAAACATTCAATTTTAAATATGAAAATTAAAAAAATTCCTCTTTTCTTTTTGAAATCTCATACATTTTATAATCCTAAATTTGAAATCTATTCAACAAATAAGTTTTAAATTTCTTTGTTTCTCTATTGTTTCTGCTCTATTCTACATATTACATGAGAGTTATAGTTCGTAAAATTTTTATTTATCTCATTGAGTTTAATAGTATAGGCAATGGGGTTATAATAAAACGATTTTAAAATATAAAAATTCGTCCAGGACAATTATAATTTTTGTGAGTATGTAATATTATATGTGCATATGTTGTTTTAAACATTTGATTTTGATATATATATATATTAGCTTTGTAAATACCATCAGCTTAAAAAAATTGAAAAAAAAACCTTTATGAGAGGCCCCTCCTCATAAAAAATTATAGTTCTGCCACTGGTCTTTAGGTACCTTTTTCAGTCTAATGAATTTTTTCTTATGTTTCTCTTTGTTTTTGATGGTCTTGTTCTTTTGGTTTGGGGTTGTCATTATTTGTGTTGTGTTTGAGATGTACTACAGTATTACCCAATTACAGATTTGTAAACATTTCGTCAGAATGATTAGTTTAATGTTTAGGATTTGATTGTCTACATTTTTTAGCAACATTTTATCCTTTTAAATTCCCCTCCCCCCCCCCCCAAACAAAGACAATTCTTGCCTTCGCCAATATAGGCAGACAATACAACCAAATTCTCCTAGTTGTGACGTTCTTGTTCGTGATTCATACAAAAATTTGTAAGAACGTGACAATGATTCAGATTCGTTATTTTCAATTAGGGTGTCTTATTAGAGTAGCTCTCAAATTGGTGCGAGTCGAGTGAAATCAAACTACATAGGAGCAAATTTTTGTATAACATGTATTATGAATGATGTGACCGGATGACCCTGTCAAAGTTTTTCTCCCTTTAGTAGCCTTATGCATCCTCCGCTGATCTGTCGAGCATTGATCTTATACTTGCGTCTAAAATTAGTCATTTTGAGATTTAGAGCTAAGGGTTTTATTGAGTTTTATTGGGGCGGGGCTAGAGAGAGCAACTTTTATAGCATGAGTTCACGGCCATCATGATGTCCGGTGCCAATAATACAATTTATCTCCTGACTTTAATTTTGTACATGAATTGAGAGACGTGAGCGAACTTCAGACATAAATTAGTTTGGCAAGCCTTGAACTTATTTTATAAACATGATCAAGCTGCATGCATACAGATGATAAATACATCTCTAATCCAACGTTCAGTAGACAAAAAGAGCCCTGTATCTATCCAAGTTATACCTTCCCCTTCTAACTTCTAAGTTGTCAGTTGACAGGACTGCCAACATATGAACACCGACACCGAAGCTCTCCCCTTGTATGTCCAGGAACAAAAATTCAGGGCTCATACTAACTCTATGCAACTGCGGCCGGTTAAATACTAGACACTGCACAGCTGACCACATTTATTTTGATCATGTAGCGTGAGGTCATGTAGCATAACTTGGATTCTTTTGGTTGATATCCTCCTCCGCTTGTACTGCTTGTAGTACTTGCGAGATACTTTGTTGCAGTCAGCATCCTCGAAGGAGGAAAATTCTGGATTGCTCTCACCCGCGCATGGTCTACTTTTATTACCTGCAGCGTTTCTGATGAAAAATATAGTCAATAGTTTACTCTTTTATTCAAGTAATTTGAAGATCAAGTAAACTAAAATTAACGGTTGGAGTGCTATAGTGTGATTTTCCAATATACTTTCTGTAATTGGCCAATATTATTTAATGATCGTATGATGCATACAAACAGCTTCAACCACAATCTGATACTAGGTCATGATTTTTAGTCTTGAAGAACGATAGAACATTAATGCCGCGCGTGTTCTATTTTTCATTTCAATATTCGAAGTGTAAAGTAGAAAGGTGAGACATACTCTACTCCTTGGCACGCAATTCTGCCATCCTCAATTGGTTCTGGTTGATACACTTCAGAGACGGTAATGGACATATCAACGTCAGTATTATCACAACTTCCACAGATATCACCGTAAAGATCAAGCACGGTTCCTGCGAAACACCATAGAAGAATTAGTCTGGTAATTATGGATTTCAATTTGTTGGGGAAAAAAGAGAAGAAAAAAATTGAATATAAAAGATACTTTTTAATGGCCTTGCTTCAGCTGGAGCATTCTTCATTAACAGTTTCTGACACATAATGGTACCCTGAAAATCAAGGAAAGTATAATCCAGAAACTTTAGCCTCTCGGAAGGTGTCATCTTTGAGAACCCAAATGATGTCGTCCACGTGTTTAGCACACTTGGTACGGCGGGCAAAACCAATCTCTCCACACCTAATTCCATAAGCATCTGGCAGAATAAAGAATTTGGAGGCAATAATGAGAAACTAGAAAATGACTTTCCAAGAAGGAACACAATAAAAATGAAACCCGCAGGACCATTCGACACGTTACCTTTTCAAGTTCATCCATTAATATACGACACATTCCAAGCCGACGATATTGAAATCTGGTAGCAACAAGAGGTAATTCTGCCACTTTGTCTCCAAAAATCCTTTGATCAAGAAACTACCAGTTTAGAAACAAATTTCTTGTCCCACAAAGCTCACAAATGTTCAACTAGCAGCTAATTAAAGCTCACCTTACAGTAGCCGCGGTGATTAATTCATCATTTCTCTCCAAAAGCACAGTATAGAACCCTCGGAAGTTCAGGCGATTAAGATCTGACCTGGAATATTCCAGAAACTGGCCTTAGAAAGTGAACATATGCCTCACGTGCTAAGCTCAATTATTAGCAGTATGTTGGCAAGTCATGAAAGCAAAAGAAATTGTGACATTGACGGTAAGAATTTCCCACCCTCTACTGAAGATGACATCTTCTACAAGATCTCTCCTGGTAAGAGGTTCCTTAACAGGCACAAAACACTCATGCATCACATCAAGAGCAACATTAAGCTTGCTATAACACTCCGTCAAGGCATCATCAGTATCATGTTCATCGGTAGCATGGGTATCACACTTATTGAACTTCAACAGTGACCAAGATAGATTGTCATCACCCACTGGAATTTGTTTTCCTAAACGCTCGTTGAGGTTGAAAGATATCTGAAAATTTGAAACAGTCAAATCAACATCACATGGAGAGAGCAAGTAGCTCGTGGATGGAATGTTAAAATAAATAAGATCCGTAACTCACCTAAAACATCTGACAGAAAAAAACATGAGACTCAGCTTATTTAGAATAATTTTGATTGAATCTAGAAAGGATAAAAGCGATACTTCTGAATTTTTCATTTTGCAAATCAGGCTAGGAAACAAGCAACTAAGTTCAAAAAGAGGACTGAAAAAAATTGATGGCATGTTGGAGATACCTTTTTACAGCTTTTGCTGCAATACCAGTTTCCTTGTGGATCACTTTCGTTTTCTTCTGCACCTCTTTTTCTCAGGCACCCTTTGTGATCTACATCAAATAGGGGAACACTAAAATTACAAACTTTTTGAAGATGTGACGACGTACACGAAGTTCACAGGCATGCATTTTCTATAACAGATGAAACAGATAACAATCACCCTACATTTATGCTCGCATTGACCACAGGTGAGAACACAATTATCGTCCACAATAGACTCTTTCTCTTCTTTAAAGTTCATTTGGCCACAAATTCCACAACGACAAGATGAACAGAACCAGTCACCGTCTGGAACAGCCTGCAGAAGCAAAAACATTTAAGACCAAAAAAAGAAGTCAAGAATCTCCATCATTTTCGTCGAAAGGATAAAAAAGAGGAAACGAAACAATACACAAAGTATTAAAAATACTCGAGGAAAGCAATCTACCTTCAAGCCAAGGCATTTCTTGTGAAATGATGATGGACATTGATCACATAAAATTAGGTCACCACCAAAGTGACACACAGTGCAAATGTAATCGTTCTCACCTCGGCGCCAATTGCCCTTCATCCTATCATGTGGTTGTTTCCGGAAGTTCCTCTCCCTTCTTTCATGCATAATTTGCACCTGGCAATCTAAGAGAGACCTACCATCTTCCAAGAAAATATTGGCATAAGGTCTGTGGTTACTACAGCCAGCGTGATGCCCGAAGGAACTAAGAGTATACACATCTGTGCAACAGCTGCACCTGATCCCCTCACGAGTTATCTTCCCTTGTTTCATTGGATGACTATCCTTTGTGCTCCGATAATTTACTTTTTCCCTTGGAGAAACCATGTTATTGTCTATCAACCAAGATAAGACATTGCGAGGATTCTTGTGTGAGGAGGTTGCTTCCTGCACCCGTTTGCTTGACCTGAGCACACGAGTTGGCTGACTACCACCCAGTTCATCTCTTAACCCATCCAAAGCTCCAGATCCCTTTCTCCTTTTCAACTTTGGAGGGTTGGCACATTGATCCTTTAGACATCTTAGTTTTTCATCACCTATTAACTCTGTTGGTCCATATTTTCTCTTTTTTGGGCATTTTCTACTACCATGAACTTTCACATTACCAATCTCCACAAGATTACTTGCCTGTGACATGCTAACAGCATCTCTAGACCAATTTTTGGACAGTGTTTTCGATGGTACCAAGCCTTCATGATTAACCAAATTACTTGCTGTAGAGCATATTCTGTTTCTAGTGGACTGGCCCTCGTCTTCCTCAATGACATACATGCATTCAGCAGGTCTCTCTACAAAATCTCCATCCATACAGCTTTTGCATGCACTATAAAGTGTAAAATGCACCACTCCCTTGGGTGATTTGTAGCACAAGTTCTTTGACTTTCTACTTGCGTACAAGAACACCCACCCAACAGCTGAGAGGTGCTTCTTTGCTTTTGATACCATTTTTCGTACTTTCTTCTTCGGTCCCTTGGCCATTGCATGGTTATAATATTCCACAACTGCTTCGTGGCAATATTCAGGTTTGTAAATAAATTCTTCGTGGTAAGAAGACCCTGACATCTGAGGACAATAACTAGGATGATGACTCTCTTGTGGTTGTTCAATGAGAAGAGTCTGTTCTTCTGAACAATGCAAACCCTGGGTTGCATCTTCAGAGATTGAAGGTGTATCTCTCTTGGGTTTCTTCAACTTCTTACACACTTGAAAAAGAGAGTACTCGTATTCTCCTCCGTCAGGACACAAGTACCGGTATCTGTAGCAGCCCTTATCGATTGCAAATTCCATTTTCCACCCCAAATATTGAAGATGCTGCCTAACAGCTGTCACTTTGAAATTAGAACGCTTATTCAAATATTCGTCAACAGAGTCAGGGCAATATATAGCTTGAGGGTCGAAAGGTAGCCAATTAAGGGTACTTTTGCTTCTGGAATTAAAACTACGAATTCCACCATTTCTGATACCAGAATTGACACAAGAATTCCCATCAAGATTAGAAGGAAATGCTGACAAAACCTGAGGTAGAACAGACACTTCTTTATTTTGGAAAAATATATTTGAGCACTCCAAACTATTCATATCTGGTATGTCATCCCCTGCCGCAGAGATCAATTTAGCCATATAAGATTTCTCGTGAACCTGCTGCGCGCAGGCAGAGTCTGGATTAATAGACAAACCCCCATCTACATCTTGTTCATCAATAAACTCAGCATTGCAGTTCAGTACACAGTTCATTACATTCTTGAAAGTATCTTCATGACCAACTAATGGATCTCTATACAGCGGGTTGTGGACAGGTACAATAGCTGAAGAGTCAACCATATTTTCTTTACAATTCATATTAGCATCAGAGGACAAATGAGCTGACTCCAATTCTACCTGGGTTTCTAGTGACAAGCATCCTGACTTGTCTAAAACACCTAATAGTTCATCAACTGTGATGCTTATGTTATCATCAATGACCTCCAACACCAACTCTTCCCACAGATGTCTCATTGGAGAAGTCCACTCCTTGACATTCTCAAATCCCTTTTTTTCTCGCACATCATACCAAATTTGCTTCACAGAAACAGCAATGTACCTCTCGTTATCATATTTCTCAAGCAACTCAAGTAACACCCAAGTACCGCGTCGCTTCCAATTCTCAGTAACCTCATCCCAGTCATGAGTAATTCGGATAGTGTCAATCCGAGCATTTAATTCATCACCCAAATCCGGGAAGAAGATCCTTCTCTCCTCCGAACCATCTTCATGATCGAAGATGACACCTTCCCACCAACCGTCCTCATGAAACACATCCACACAGAGTCCATAGGGAAGGTCCCATTCCCCTGGCTGAATGTGAGGTGGCGTTGGCCTTATACACCCGCGATAGTTACTCCCGTTCCCAGTGAATGAACCAATGCCATCCAAAATGGGTGAAACAGACACAACATCAACCAGATTACCAGACTCATCGTCACATAGAAGATGTTCGTATTGAACTTGACGATGACCTTGATTATTGCATGCAATGACAATCCCGGGGTGCCATGACCCCTGAAACCCAGCTTCTACACTCCTCACCTGCAAAAGTTCATATTTTTAGTTTAAAAAACAAAACATGAAATTCCTAATGAACAATTTCCCACATCTACACTGAATACCCCCAATAGAAAAACATTAAAGCAAACTATAGAACGAGGTCAACCTCCATTACCTTACTGAGAACCCAAGATCAAACATTGCATAAATGGCGAAACGAACCGAAAGAAACCATAGATGCTCAATAATAATGAGAGTAACATTAAAGGCAAGGCAGCCACAATCAGTTTGGAGAATTTGACATGAATCCAAAAGGTAATACAAAAAAAGAAAAAGGCTTTGACATTGAACCCAGAAATTAATTACAAAAACGCAGAAAAAAAAAACAAATCAACAGAGAGGCAAAACAAAATTTCCCAAAAGAGACCAGCAAAAAATTAAAATTAAAACCAAATATAGAAAAAAACAAAAAACACACCCAAATTTTTACTTGGATGCTCTACCAGGCCAAATCAGTCTTTCAATCTCAGCCGTTTAAGAAAATGCATTGGTTCCCAGATTGGACCACATCATCTACCAATCTTCTTCCCCACAAAAACAAAAATAACTCAAATAAAGAAAAAAACCCATTTAACAGAAAACCAGCGGCGGCGCCTGGGGTGCTTACGACGGCCGCCAGCAAAGTAGTGAATGTTGCAGCAAATTAAAGAAAGAAAAAACATTTTACCAAAAACCAGTGCAATCGGCTACCATGCATGCCTCTTCGAGTCCAAAACATTCAACAATCAGCTTAATTGACTTCATAAACTATCAAAAAATTCGAATTGACCCATAAAAAAAAAACCAAAAAATAAAAAATCCCCAAAATAGACGAGGATCACAGCCCAAAAACCCGAATTTCTCAAAAACCCAGAAACAAAAAAGCTGGAAGAAGGCGGCATTACCTCAACTTGGGCACCAACGAGAAGCTTTCGTCGATTGTGAGTCCTGCGTTTTCGTTTTTTGGGCTCTTCGAGCTCCATGACCGCCATTGAAGAGCCAGAGAGAAAGCAGAGGGTTGAGAGAGTGAGTGAGAGAATGCTTTTTGGGTTTTCGAAATTTGGAAAATCGAAAATAAAAATTTCAGTGGAAATTGGACTCTCCCTTCTCTCTCGCTCTATTGGGCTTATCACTCTCTCTCTCTTCTCTCTCTCTCTCTCTCTCTCTCCTCGTATTGCTTTGGCACCAAGTAACAGACTCAGAACTAGAGACTGAGACTCTGATGCTCTGCCACTGCAACCACTATAAATTTCTCTGTTCCCGCTTTAATTTCCCTCCACGTCATCTCCGTATGTACGGATTCCTGACGTGGCGGCATTCCATTTGTTTCGTCGGTCCATCTCTTTCGTACCGGTCCTTCTCTAGCAGATCAATTTCGGAAAAGATGGATGATCAGGTGCGGTGAGGAGCACGTTGGAAGGGTGTGGCGTTGGCCCGTCAGTTTTGGACCGTTGATGTGGGTGTAATGGGTTAGGGATTCTCGCCATGAGTCTGTGGCCGTCGGATTGACTTGCACGGATTAGGGGGCGAGGGGAAAAGGAAACAAAAAAAGGAGAGGCATTGACTGAGAATGTTTTAATGAAAATCAAGTCTACTGAGGTTGAGAATCACAAGTTAATGTTTTCACATAAATGAAAATCAATTTGGGACAGTGGGGATATAAATATTTTATGCATTCCCTTTTTGCAACATCGATTATTAATTGATACATGTTAATAAATATTTATTAATTTTGCTATCATAAATTTAATACATGTTAAGCAATGTAAAGTTCACGCACAGAGTGAGTGCAGAAGATTTGAGTACACTGCAGTTTAATAATATTTTTCTTCTCTAATAATCGATGGGTATCATGTTTGACTCATACAGCTAACAATAACTTATTATATTTGTGTTAAGTTCACATCTTAACACTTCTCCACCAATTTTACTGAAATCTTCTACACCTATTTACGTATGTAGCTTCTGTAATTTGCTTATAATCTTGACAACTGTCGACTAACTTAACAACAAACTCTAAATAAAATGAGAAAATAATAAAATAAAAATGGAGTAGCCGAGGTACTTGGTACTCTCCAATTTATTATTCTCCCTTCCAAAGAAAATTTCAAAACCCTTAAACTAGTTTGGATGTTAGGTTGTATGCGCTAGGTCTTGAGGCGCTGCATCGACTCTGACGACAGCCGCCACCTGGGCCTCCGCCACCCCCGACGAATTCGATCCCATCCTTCACATCTCCCGCGTGATTCTCCCCGGTCAATGTACTTTAGTAGAGGAAAATAAGTCCTATCGGTCAATGTACTTTAGTAGAGGAAATTCGCCCTACAAATTCAGTTTGAAGGAATTAGATGGAGGGAGAGAGTAGGAATGGCCAACGGTTATGGCGGGCGGGTAATCGCGATTATTTACTCAAAACCGTTTATGCTCATACCAGCATAACCGTTTATTCGTTAGGTAATTGCCAAAACGGTTATACTCATACCCATAACCGCATACCCATTTAACCGTAACCGTTTAATACCCGTTTATCCATTTATCATTTTTAACCTGTTTATCTTTTTTTTTTTTTTTTTTACCATTACCCATTTTTCACCCGTCTACATGTTTTTTAACAACTTGAAAATTAAAAAAAAATTGTCATAATTTTCTTTTTTTTTTGACAATTAAACACCGTTATAGGTACATTCATCATACATTTCCATATTTTAATTTTTTAAGTCCTTATACCATTCCAATAATTGAAATAATAGTTTACGGACGATATTTTTAACTGTTACCAATGAAAGTAAATATAATATTTGCTAAGTATTATTGGGTTACAAAAATTGTTTAGAAGACATTTATGTCAAAACATTTTTGTCAATTTCACGGTTACCTGTAAAAAAATTAAATTAATTTGGCCAACTCCTTAATGATGAGAATCATCATTCCTGTATCAGTGTTACTGAGAGGATGACCGATGAATTCCTTGCTAATTTATTGGGTGCTAAGTATTATTGGATCGAAAACATGGTTTGTGTTAGTTTTACATATATAAAATAAATGGGTAAACGGTTACCCGTTTATAACCGCAGTTAATACCCATAATCGCCCATTTAAATTTCACGGGTAAACGGTTATACCTATAACCGTTTATTTATCTAAACGGTTACCCATAACCATAACCGTTTAATTTAAATGGGCGGGTAACCGCGGTTACCCATAACCAATGGGTATTTGCCCATCCCTAGGAGAACGGGGGTGTTGTGACCCTAGTTTAGTGTCGGAGTGTTCGACACGTCGACACCTGTCGAACACGGCTTGGATACGGTCAAGACGGGCATGGGCCTTTTTGTAAATTGAAAAAACATTTGGAGGCATTTTAGAAATATTGAAACCAAAACCAAAACGAGTCCCTGACCTGAAACTAGTTTGTTGCCTAATTTATTTAGGGAAATGAGTAATAATTTGATATATATGAATTCGAAGTATTGTTTTTAATATATGTAATATTTATTATATTTTAATCATCATGTTGTAGTTGTATCCGTGTTTTTGTACTTGTGAAATTTGTTGTGTCCTCGTATCGCCATGTCATGTGCCACCGTATTTGTGTTTGTGCAACATAGGTGTTGTCGACAGTGGTGGTTTTCAGGATTAGGTCTAAACTTTTTTTTTTTTTTTTGACCTTTTGTTTTTTTTTAATATAATATTAAAGACAGTTGACAGAGTCAAATGGTGTTACGTTCTGAAACATGTGTCAGCAAATTAAAGAGGTCAAAGAGATGCCACATACAAAATAAGTTCAAAATATTTGAACTCATTTCGTGAACATAAAAAACAAAGTCTAACATTTCTCAAATAGAGAAATGCTAAAGATACTTTCTCAAAAATGATAGATATTTCAGTGTGACTGGAACACAAAGTGGTACATCACGTGTCATAATACAAATGGTGTGATACGTGTGTTAAAAAGTTAATAACTTAAAAAATAAAATTTTTCACCACTTATATAAAAACACGTGATGTACTATCCGTATTTCAATCACAATGAAAATTTTCTCCTCAAATGTGGGACTTTTCATAGACTCTCAAACACTTCATGCTTTTGACATAAGGTTTTATATATTGGCACAAGAATTGACGTTAAACTGTTCATGCCAAAGAATCTATAAAAAATCACACTTTAAGAATCCACTTAGCATTTCTCTCTCAATTATAGTCATACGAAGACTGAACTTTGATGTGTAGTCAAACTCGCTTATGTTTCATGATGTTTCCATGTTCAACATGCAGCGGAGATCATGCATATAATAGGACTAAGAGTTGCACAATAAATAAATTTTGTGAGTGTAAAACAAATACGAAACATGCATCAAGGCAAATATAGGAAGTGCATGATGAAGCTATGTTCCCTCATTCAATAGCGCATGAAATGCTTAATTTATCTTATGATAAAAAAAATCTGTAGGGAAATTTAGATTAAATAATTTTAGTAAAGGTTTTAAGGAAAACTACCAATTTTTTCTCAACATATTTGGATTAAGCCACAAATTGGTTGCAAATACACTTGTAAGCATTGGAACATTTATATTTTGAACCCATTGCACATAACTCACACTTTGGTAGTGTAATGACCAATAAAACAATATGTAAAAATTTTTCATCTTCAATTCTATTTTGTTAGTTAATTTATATTTTTTGAGATGTATACACAATAAAATGAGGGGACTTATGAGAAAATTCATTACTAAAGATCATAGTTGGTATGTTGCCGAAAAATTTAATCAACAAGACGCAAAAAAATTTGATCAAACGTGGCAACATTGAGTGATGAAGGAAAGTATAGTGACATGCATCAAGTAAAATTAATGTTGGAAAAATACACAAGAGAAAAAAAAAACACTCATTATAGGACATACCTCAGAATTAACGAATTTTCGGATTACTGTTTCGTTCCTATGATCTTTTGCTTGAACTACGAGTGAAAAACTAATCATGATGAGGATTCGATTGTATCTAATCCAGTCAATTAGATTGCCTACATACATATGTTCTCAGTTGTTTCCGGATCGATGTGTAACCCTATAGGGTCAACTAAGGGAGAAAAAACCATTTTAATGTGGTTGGAGAGGAGCAAAAAAAGGGATATGCCCCGAAAATTCTTGAGAATATTTCATTTTGATTTTCTCTAATTACTGCAAAGAAATTCAGAGATATTTACTTAATCAAACACCCTAATTTGAGTTAATTAAATATTGTGATTTATTTAATTGAATAAACAAATCCTACAATTACATATAAAGTAAACAACAGCCAATTGCAGAGTAGAAAGTATGTTCATAGCGTGTCCAATTAACTTTAAATTGCGACACTTCAAACTACATGATCTAAATGATCTAAAGTGAAACTTTATCCAAACTACATGAACTAAAATCATACTTTTACCAAAATCTTAAATAATAAACTTCAAGAGCATATCCAACAGCCTTGCTAAAAGAGATTGTTTGGCTGTTTTAACGAACAAAAATCACAAAATCTCATTTCCAAGATGCTCACTGTTTGCTTCGCTACTCTGACAACGGGAACAGTCTCTCACTAGATTTAGCTTGAGGAAAGAGAGAACTTAAAGGAAAAAAAACAAATAAAAAGGAGACGGGAAAAGGAAAGAGAACTTGACACAAACACACAAAAAAAAAAAGGGAAGAGAACTTAACGGAATAAAAAACAAAGAAAAGTGGTTCTAGAAAGCTATAGAATCGTTGGGGTTAATTATTTATTTGAATTATTAATTAATAACGTATAAAAAATTAAATTATTAAATAACAAAATATTGTTAAAATAAAAAAAAATTTATTGGAGATGATAAGTTAAACTGAATAGTTATTTTAATTTTTACACACTGTTCATCAGCTATTTTAGCAGAAAATTAAACTTCATTATTGGAGATGCTTTAAGATAATTAGACCATTAACACAAAAGCCCAAACGCACAAAGTAAATGAACAGAAAAGAAAAAAATAAAATAAAAATTAAACAAAAAAATGTGATTTCCTTAGAACCCACATTTTTCTCTGTATAGCTTACAAACATACTGTTATTGCCCATTTAACATGATCAATTAACAAACCCTCTTCACTAAGCTTTGAATCTCTCGAGCCCAACCTTATAACCAACAGTCTTTAAATCTTTCTGCACTTCCTTCTGAAAGTCACTGTATGTAAAGGGCTTGTAGTTTGAGCTCCGAATCACACTGCCTTCTCCAGGAAACACGAAGTAGCAGATTGAAATTCTCTCTTTGCTTCTGTTCACCTTCACTCTGTGCTTCACACTCTTGTATTTGTCGTCGCTTATCGCCTAAAACCGAAGCACAAATTCCGTCAACAAATATTCATCAAACAAACAAGAGCTATACTACAGTCAATCATCTTCGTGCATGTGCGATTTTGACCAAAAATGAAGCTTACGTCTCATTTATGATCATAAATAGCTCACGCGTGCATAACCAACGGAACTTAGCAAAACCTAAGTAAGTAGTTACTTATGCTTAATCATATGACCTGCATCATGTCCCCGAGGTTGACAACTAGTGTGCTGGGAATTGGGTTTACATTGAACCACTCGGTGTCTTTGAGAACTTCGAGTCCACCGACATCATCTTGGTTTAGTATCGAGAGCACAGAGCTGTCAGTGTGGACGTCCATGCCCCATGCAGATGCAGATGCAGAGTTGGAGCAATGTGGGGGGTAGCGATAGACACGTACAACGCCAGTGGAATTGGATAAGTGGGATTTGGATTCTATTGGATCCATTCCAAGGCTTTTTACCATAGCTTCAAATATAGTTGTGGCTAGCCTGGCTAGGTGCTTCCCATATTCTTCCAGCACAAGGCTTTTGAGACACAGAGAAATTATACCCTTTGTTAAATAAGTCCATGTATAAATGTAAAGAAATATTTAGCACCTTATATGTAAGAAATATTATCGTTTGTGTGTCAAACTATAATTCTCAGTTAAAATAAATTTCTTATATGGTTTTCATAGAACTTGCACAAGACTTGTGAGATGAAAGAAATATTTTTTTGAAAAATTTATCATATGATTTAGTATATGTGTGACATTATAATTTAGAGAAGTGACTGCTTAATTGTAGCAGTAACACAATGTTTTAAATGAAAATAAGAAATCAAGACGAGACCATTTTTCTAAAAGGTAAAACTAACTTCTCATCTTTTTTAATCTAGGCAATTTTCTTATTTTTCTTCAAAACATCGTAGTACCTTTACATGTAAGTAGTCATTTCTACTAGCGAAGAGAGGGTACACCAACTTTACACCTTCTACTACACCAAACAATCAACTAACCAATGCAATGTATATACATTAGAAACATAATTGAATGGGGTCAAAATTTCCAAACCATGCTTTACAGCCCAATGAAAGAAAATAAATGTACCTGAAAGAAGCAACTGTGGGATTGTCAGTTTGGAATTGACTGAGTTGAGCTAGAGGGACATTCAGTCCTTCAACCCAATTGATATTCTGGAGGGTACTAGTACCCTTTGTTGATAAGGCTGCCCCAGATGGAGTTAGGGCAGGGGTACCCCAGAAGTAGGACAGAGGGCTGGTGATAAGGCTCTGTTTGGATTCAAACGGCAGGGAAAAAACCGCTTTGGCATGCTCTTCAAGTTGGGTCAAAAGGGTTGGAGGAACTCCATGGTCGACCAAACGAAAAATGCCCCAAAACTCACATGCCTCCCCAAGTTTCAGGCTCTGGAGATCCACCAGAGGAATCGGATCCTCCAAATCATGAACTGGGTTGAGTTGGTCATCCAAATCAGCGGCCTGGGTTGAATCTGTGTGTGAACGGAACAGAGGAGGGTAGGATTCAGAAGCCATTTTTTTCTCAGAACAATGGAGGTTATCGTCTTGTTGTTGGGCAGGAGGCTGATTCTTATAGCAAATGAGCAGCCAAGAGAATGGGACAGCAACCATTTTATAGTGAGACAAAGGGCCATTTGTTTACTCTGGAAGTGGGACCAGGATGTTGTTTCTATATATTTTGGTGCCGACAGGTGTCCCAGGGTCCATTCTCTGACCCTAGACGAAATCTATGAAAAAGGAGATTGACACAATGATGGATTGGAAAGGTGGCTCCTAAGTCCTAAATCAGTCATGGTTCTGCCCGTGCTCATGTGCTAGTTTTACTACTCAATGTTTAACCAAGATGTTGACACTATTGGATGCATCCGAGTTTTAGACGGTTAAATTATGATTGTTATAATTTAGTCATACAAGTCTAGCCATCAATTACACTAATGCATGAAAGAATACTTGGTCTCGACGAAATTTTGGCATGCCGGTTGGGGGAGGGGAAGAGAGGGAGGAATCCATTTTCAGTTCGGAGCTTGTAGATTGGAGCAAAGGATGGGGTGGGATGGATTATGAGGAAATGAGGTAGAAGGAAAGGGTGGGGGGGAGATTGAAGTTATAGATTTGAAAAGGCGCGGTCTGAGGTGAGAGAGTAGAAAACTAAATAACATATAAGCAGTAAAAAATAAATAACGGTAAACGCCGAAGAAATTGCGGTAAATGCTGAGGATGCATGCTACCGATGCATAAAATTGCCGCCGGAGAAGACGATTAAGGGCAGACCACGGGAAGGTGGTGGCTTTTTAGGAAGGAGGGATAGGAGGAGAAGGGAGGAGGGTGAGTAAAAGGAGGGGCAGTGGTACTACCGCCGATCCTAAACAAGCGCAAGGGGCGGCTAATTGGGTGTGGTTTGTGAGAGAGGTTTTGGTAAGAGAGAGAAGGGGAAGCAATAAAGGGCGGTACTAATACACCAAATTCATGCACTAAATAATGTGATGCATTCTACACTATATATATTTTTATTAAAATAATTAATAAAATTCCAACTTAAATTAAAGCACAAATTTGATTGGTGTCACATTATTTGGTGTGCCTAGCATTATTCTTTTATGAATTAGGAACTTCGCATGCTTTGATGACATGTGAATGAGAAAAGAAAAAAAAACTCACATTTTTTTTCTTGCGAAATTTCTTTAATGCTCATGATTTTTTCTTAATATTCTCTTTCAATTATGCATGGAAGGTTATAATAGTATTATTATTGGTTTTTGGTTAACATAAAGTTTCATTAATAGATGATATAGAGTAGAATATGGAACTTTATAGAGAGTAATCATGTCTATGTACCATGATGCATATTTATCACACCAATCTCCACTCCTCTTAACTAACGCTATCGTTTGTCAAAAATAAAAAAGTAGTATAGATTAACAAATTATAAGGTCTTTGGGGATAGAAAAATTCACATAAGGTATTTACTTTGCTTGCCCGATTGTTGAATTTACTGTCATATTTTATTTATATTTGAACAGCAAGTTTGATATTAATTTATTTTTTTAATGTAAATATATCGTTATATTAAATATCGCAATATAGAATACGTAATTTGAATTCTATTTGACTCATTCAAATTAACTGTATCTTATCTTATTTATTTTTTGCAGAAATGATTTTTACATCATGATTTATAATATGAATGATTCCGATCATAAACGCGAAAGTCCGTAAATCTCTTACAAAACATTTTAAGTATGATAACGTTAATGGATTAAATAATTATTTGTTAAGGAAGAAAAAAATTAGTAAAAATCGATCTTACACCATACTACATAAACATAATTATTTTTTGTCGTTACGTAAAATGTTATAAGCCCCTGTAGCGAACTACTAAATCTGGCGCGGATCCTTTTCCTTTGACAACCATTCATGGTGGGCCCCTTTTAGTACCGACTTGAAAGCCTGGATTGTTCTTGAAACATCAACCGCTTCTCTTTTCCCTTATAACAAAGGTATGGCAGAACGGCGTCCGGCTTTAGTTTTGCTCGACTTCTAAACTCCCGGCGCGAGTTTGCATCTCGGAGAAGTTAGAGGATACCTGAACTTGCCTTCTGCGGCGCAGGTTAGCCTCCTGCGACGAACTCTTGTATGATATTTGCTTATTATCTTCGTTTTGTGAGGTTAATTTATTTGATTTGATTAGGTTCGTATAAAAGGAAAACAATTGATTTTGGTTTTTGGGTTTTTGTTTTTCCTTCAAAGTTTCTTATTAGATTTTAGAAAATTTTAGGTGAATTTTCTAGTCATTGTCTGTGCACTACTTTCTTTTAGTTTTTTTTTTTTATTTTTATTTTGTTGATTTTTCTCATCAGTTATGAAGCTTGATGGTTGATGATAGATGATGGTTCGTGTTCGTTTAATGCACTCTTGTTAATTCCTGTATTCGTGGTCATGAGTGTGAGGTTAGTCGGTGATGATGGGACGAACTATTGACAGACTGACAACGAAACATGGTTGGTAGATTGTCGTTCATATTCATATTGTGTTAGATTAGACCATGTCGGTGTTGATCGAATGAGTTAGTGAGTCTGACAATGCAACTTGGTAGATCATTGTACTTATTCACGTCGTGATATATTAATGGAAGAATTGACAGTCTAACAATACAATCTGTTACGTTAGATCTTATTACGTTAGATTAGATTGCGTGACATGAATTATTAATTATCATGTTTTTGTTTGTTACAATTCATGTATTTGTTTCTTTAGGTGGAAGTTTGATTGATGTTCCTGTATTATTTAATATGTTCTGTTTGCATAGAGCTCTCGGTATTTATGGTTATGTGCTTGGGCAATGGTTTTTATTCTATCTTTTGGCATTGTCCCCACGAACTATTGACAATCTACAACACAATATGTTTGATCGCGGTTTGGTTAGGTTCACAACATATAACATATATACGCTAACATGATCGGTTAGACTAGACCGCACGACAAGAATATATTAGTGTTCATGTTCTTTATTTTTATCAATTCCAAGTCCAAATACTAACCCCATTCAACGTCGGTCTGATGTCTGCAGATCATTACAAAGTGAGGTATGGCCAAACATCACCCTGATCTGATTATGTGCCGGAAACAACCGGGGATCGCCATTGGACGGCTTTGCGAGAAGTGTGATGGCAAGTGTGTGGTCTGCGACTCCTACGTCCGTCCTTGCACCCTTGTGAGGGTTTGTGATGAATGCAACTACGGATCTTTCCAAGGCCGGTGTGTAATCTGCGGCGGAGTTGGAATTTCCGATGCCTACTATTGCAAAGAGTGTACGCAGCAGGAGAAGGATAGGGATGGATGTCCAAAGATTGTGAATTTAGGTAGTGCGAAAACCGACCTCTTTTACGAACGCAAGAAATATGGCTTTAAGAAACGATGATCGTAATTAAGCATCACTAAGATGTACTTAGATGTTGTAATGATTTGTATTTGGAGATTATTACAAGCATATTTAGACTCCTTCGTGTATTGAGTTTCTCTATCAATCTATACATTGTTACAGGTAGTACATGAATATAGTTTTGTATCTGCTCTCTGTTTTCGTTAATGGTACTTGAAGGTCAAAACCTAAAAAAGAGAATGAAAGACGGCACATATGAGCAGAATAGTACCACAACAACGGAGTAAGGTTATTTCCCCTCTAAATTTCCTTCCCATCCTCTCATAAATGGTTTTTATTAAGTCACGTTAACTTCTTGTGTTGGCTTCTATATAGATAGAGAAAGACAAAGGAAAATGAGAGGAGGAGAGGGAAGGAGATTTGAAAGGAAGAGAATCCTACTCCTACAACAATCTATTATATCCAAAGTGAATGGAGGGGCCTCAAGTGGCTGGGCGTAGAACCAAGATGAAGTTCTGACTATCTATCAAAGAAAAAGAACGAATGGATCTTGTAGGCTCAATAAGACATTGTCTCGTTGTTACTGTATGATCGAATTAATTAAAAAGTAGGAAGAATTTGTGAGTTTAGTCAGAACAACTGAGGACATCACATAACAACTATCTAAGACTGATAATATGGTATTTTAATATATGGCAATTATCTATGCCATCGGCAATGCCACTAGAATAATACAAGGGTTTTTATCACAAATGGTCCCTGAAATTGACTCTTATCATCAACATGGTCCTTGAAATTGAAAATCAATTAATGTAGTCCTTGAAAATAGGTGTCGCAAATCAAAGTGGTTATTCCATCACAATTCAGTTAAAAGTTTCGTTAAGTGTTGATGTGGCACATAAATGGGACCCACTAGATTTACGAATTTTTATCACAAATGGTCATTGAAATTGACTCACACCATCAAGATGGTCCCTGAAATTGACCCACACTATCAAGATGGTCTCTGAAATTGAAAATCGATAAATGTAGTCCTTGAAAATAGATGTCGTAGATCAATATGATCATTTTGCCACAATTCTGTAAAAAAAAAAAAAAATTGTTTTGTGCTGATGTGTGTTTAATAATTAATTAAAATAGTTGTCTAAATACCTTTTTGCACAATGGAATTTTTTTTTCTTATAGTAGGGCCTATTCCGTAGAGAGATCCCTTTCATAAATTCTCAAAGGCACAAGACTTAACCAAGGCCTAAGAGGGGACAAGGAAATAGTTTTCAACCAACAATAGACGCACCTCAGGTATAACCTCATTATCTCAAGGCAGACCTCTTTGTTCTTTGCATCACCAGACCACCAGGGAAGCGTCAAACAAGCTGTCCAAGATTAAGTTTGTGAGGATGTTGATCGCCTAAATGTTACTGGTAATGTCCCAGAAGTTGTTGCCAATCGACGAAGCTGTCACCAAAAGTGATCTCGATCCAAGTTCAATTCAGTGAAGGGTGTTGAAGTGTGTAAAGATGAGTATATTGAGATTTTTTTGACATAGAATAGAGAGCAAATGAGATAGAGAAATATGGACTGGGATCGGAGGTGATTGAAGGATTGGGTTTTTTCTATTGACAACTTTTTTTATTAACTATTAAATTATTAAGCCTATTTGTAATTTTTTTAAATTTAATTAGTCTTGTATGACCCATTTATTTGTCACATCAGCACATATTGAATTTTTGACAAAACTATGAGGGAATAACTACATTGATTTGAGATACTTGAGGGACTATATTTATCAATTTTCAATTTCAGGGATCATTTTGATGTTGTAGGTCAATTTCAGGGATCATTTTGATGTCCTAGGTCAATTTCAATGACCATTTGTAAGAAAAAAAATTACTTATGGGGCCCATTTATGTGTCACATCAACATTTAACATAATTTTTAACATAATTGTGACAGAATTACTACATTGATTTGAGACACCTATTTTCAGGGACTGCATTAATTGATTTTCAATTTCAATGACCATCTTGATGGTGAGGGTCAATTTCAGAGACCATTTGTGATAAAAATCCATAATACAATGGTTGTAAGATAATTTTTCTCGTGTTTGTGAAAGAGAGGGAGAGCCAGATGAGAGGCCATTTTGCCATGCTCAAGTTCATTAGTAAGGTGGATGCTAATTATCTTCTCCTTTTATCTTTCTCTACTTGTCTTTTCCACTCAACCGTTGCCACGTAGACTCCAGTATTACTTAAAAGTTAAAACTCGATATCTAATGTGTTGAAAATCTAATTCTTTAAGCAACAATGGAGTTCGCATGACAACAAATGAGTGAAATGTAAATAGAGAAAGATAAGAGGAAAATGTAGTTAGTATTTCTTTCATTAGTAATATAAATGTATGTTTACTGGTAGTTGCATCGATATCGTTTTGGAAAAATATTTTACTTAGATTAATTCATTAACTTTAACTCAAACTTATTAAGTTGAAACGATATAAATAATTATATTTGCGTCGGTAGCACTATATTATCACCAAACGTTGTACATGGAGACTAGAGTAGAGTGTGTGAACCAGTTAATGGCAAAAAAATAATACACATGATCACGACTTTTGAACGAGAAACGGAAGCCGCTGCCTGCTTCTGTCTGGCAAAGGCGTGGCTACCTTATCTGGTAATTAAAGGAGGGGATCGATATCAACACCGTTAACTTTTAAAAGTCAGCATCTTCAGATGCACTCGTGACAGCCATCATCTGTAAACGTCAACTTTTAATATAGTAGTATTATTAGCATGCAAGTGTATAGAAACGTGTGAGGATCCTCTCTTTGTGTGAATCTCAAGCATCTTCATTGTATATCGTATGATCAATTTTTGTCAGGTACGGTTTATATTCAATTTTAAATAAAAAATAGATAAATTAGATTTTCATCTCTCATTTTACTACTCTATTAATTAAAACCTTATTCCTTTTCAAATTTTGATCAAAGTTCATGGATATTAATAACATAATTAATTATTTCAATAATAAAATATTTTTATTTCTAAATATATTCCTTTAGTATTAAAACTGTTACAATTAGTATATTTATTTTTATGACTAAATTTTTTATCATATTTTTTTTTTAGTTTGTAACCATTTTTAATTTGCAAACCTTTTTTAATTTGTACCAATTTTCTTTTTAGTCTTAATTTGTACCCATATATTAATTTCTTTTTGTGCCCATATTTTCTAAAGTTTTATTTGTATTTGTACTCATGTGTTTACCACATGCCATTGTATAATTCATCAATGGTAGAGAAATTATATATGGTATATTTATGCTAAACTTTGTATCATATTTATATTTTTAGTTTGTACCCACTTTTAATTTGCAACCTTTTTTTTTAATTTGTAGTATTTTCTTTTTAGTTTTAATTTGTACCAATGTATTAATTTCTTTTTGCGCATATATTTTTTAAAATTTCATTTGTACTCATAATTTTTTAATTTTTTATTTGTACCCTAATTTATTTAAAATGTACTTATTCTTCTTTATTAATGTACCACTTTGCTATATGTGAAATGTACCAATTTTTTTTAACACTATGGATACATTCTTTTGACATTTATTATTTCTTATTGTAACATAGTTTTTATCCATATATTCAATCAAAATGTTTGAATTTTTTTATTGTAGCTGTTTCTAATAATATTATAATGAGAGATTTTAAATGTATAGGATTATAAATCTCATAAAGTATCAAACAATCAATGTCAAAACTATAAAAATATAAATATTAATAGTAATATAATGAGGTGTACAAAGTCAAGGAACTTTGATCAAACTTTGAATATCATTAAGATTTTATTTAAAAAATGTTAGAGACTAGGAACCGTATCCAAAGTATTATATATATATATATATATATATATATTATTTTATGTATTATATGATAAACGATATTATAAAGATATATATTTTGTTATTTTGAAGAGTTTTGAATTCTGGGTGTAGCTCACTTATGTCCATCATTTTACCCACCTTACAAGTTTTAAAATATATTAATATAAAACAAACACACATTGCTACAAGTAACGTTATGAGACGGTGTTACGGTTACACCAAAAAGTATATCGATATGGCATTATTCAACCTATAAATACAGCAATATTGGTTCATTCATCCTTCTGGTGTATGATTATCAGAGTCAACCAGAGAGAGAAAAAGAAAGATGGGATTTGGAGGTACTCGGCTGTGCGTATGTCTCTTGCTTGCCTTCGCTGTAATTTCTTCTTCTCGGAACACCGTTCTATTCTCAGGTATGGATATATGTTTCTCTCTCTACCTATATCTTCTTCAACCACTTATTCGCGTAAAACTTACCTCCAACGAGTCGATTTTCATACCCTCTCTCTCTCTGCATCGTTCTCCAATGATCACGTGAAGAGCGAGGGATCTGAAACGCGTTGCAGGCAAGTCTTTCTCCTACTGTTCTTCAACTGATGCATAGAAACAATCATCTCCAAAGGCATTGAATTGCTCTCCTTTTCCAATCTTGTTCTTGGAACACAATGAGTTCTGTAAAAAGTAAAACTACAGAAATCGATAGAGTTGCTTAGTTTGAAATTGGAAAATTATTTATGTTGGAAATTAATTCTATAATACTGTGTATATTTTGTCTCGTTACGATATATACAATGAACCTTAATATATACTAATTAATATTATTAAGAATATAAATCTAGGAATTAATTATTCATTGATCAGCACCGTCTGGTATCCGTTGCCTGCTTTTTGGAATCAATTGGGTTGGGGGTGTGGAAGTGTGTGCAACACCAGCTGGGTTTGGCATTCATACTCTCATCTCATGCATCCATATTATATATATATATATATATATATATATATATATATATATATATATATATATTTTATTTTTTTATATGTTTTGTCTCTTTTACACACCAATTGAGACTAGTATTCACACGCCAATTGAGACTTTGTTTTCACACACCAATTGAGACTTGGACACTAGTATGCTATGGACACTAGTATTCACACACCGTCTTGTTTGCTAGTTGTGCTTATGGACACTAGTATTCACACACCAATTGAGACTTTGTGGGCCCATTCTATAATGTATTTTAACGATCTAAATTATTTATCTTTCGAAATATCATTTATTGATCATTTTTGCAAAAAATTAGACAAATTCAAAACCATTAAGACATTCATTAGTAGTGAAGTAAATGGTATTTAAGGATAAAAATGTAATTACACCTACAAGAGATAATACTTAGAGGTTAAGGAATCTTAGTTAGTTTTGGAGGTTTTCTTTTAGCTGTGATAGCTTTTGTATAAATACCCAAAGTGTAATGTTATTCATTTTATCAATGGAAAAAATAATTTTCCTAATATGGTATCAACCACCTATAGTCTCATGACACCTCTTCGATCCAATTTTCCCGCTTCTCTCTGCACCGCCTAATCTTCTTCATATTCTCCGATCAATCGATAGATTTCCTTATCTTGATTGTGATTTCTTCTTCCACATTTCTTCTTCCACCTACAACTATGGTGACCTTTACATCTCATTCTTTAGAATTGGATTCTCTTGTTCATCAGTTTCCTGATGTAATTCCCAACCCTAAATCTACAATTTCTTCTTCCATTACGATCCAAAATATTGGATCCATGGTTCCAATCAAGCTCACAACTACAAATTACCTGAAATGGAGTGTTTTGTTTGCTCCGATCTTCCGTTGTTACAATCTTACTTGTCTCATTGACGAAACTATGGCGGCGCCGCCCAAATTTCTTCTTGATTCGTTAGGGAATCAAGCTGCAACTCTCAATCCAGCCTATGTCACTTGGTTTGAGAATGATCAAAACATTCTTATCCGGATTAATTTAACTCTTTCTGAATCTCTAATTCCTTACACGGTTGGCGTGACTTCTGCTCGAGAACTTTGGGCGAAATTGGAATTGCGACTCGCAATTGCATCTCAATCTCACATTCATGAGCTTCGATCTCATCTTTGTAGTCTTGTTAATGGTGAATCAACTGCTGCTTAATATCTCTAGCAAATTGAAGAAATCACAGATGCACTTGCAAGTGCGGGTGCTCTAGTTGAAGATTCAGAACTAATCTCAGTCACTCTTCATGGATTGCCTCCCGAATTGACTCTTTTGTGGATGCTATTCAGTTTCGTATTGGATCCACGACTATTAATGAATTGGATTCAACTCAATAATCAGAAGAAAACAATTTCAGCTGCATTTTTTCAAGCGTATAATTCTTCTGTTGGTATTCTTCATTTGCCTGCAAACCCTAATCCTCAAGCTTTTGTTGCTCAACATGTTCCTAATTTCAAGAATCAAGGTCGCAATGTAGAACGCAATTATTAGAATACCAATCGTGGCAATTATCAGACTCGTGGAAACTACATATTTAATAATGACAGGAATAGCTATTCTCAAAACACGACTTAAAGATTCAATTGTGGAGCTCGCAACAATTACTCTTCTTACATAAAGATCTCTTATCAGATTTGTCGTAAACTAGATCATGAAGCTAGTGACTGTCCTCATCGTATGGATCAAAATTATAGTGGCAAATCTTCTCATTCTGCTATGGTTGCCAACACTTCCAATTCTACACTTACCTGGATTGTAGACTCCGATGCAAGTTCACATATGACAAATTCTTATGCAAATCTTCAGAATCCAAAAACATACAATGGCCCTGAGCAAGTGTATATTGGAGATGGCAAAGGTTTGCCTATTCTCCACTCTGGTTCATCATCTTTACATACTTCAACTAATTCATTTGCACGGAAACATGTTTTACATGTCCCTGATTTGAAGCATAATATTCTTTCTGCAAATCAATTACTCCTTGACAATTGGTGTTCTATTCATCTTTATCCTTTTCACTTGACTTTGAATGATCATTCTTCGGGGATGATGCTTTTTAAAGGTTCAGTTCAACGTGGATTCTATGCTTTTCACTCATCACATCTCCTGCTACTTCTCATCAAGCATTCACTACATCTGTCAAAGCTCCAAGGCATCTTTGGCATCAAAGATTGGGCCACCCTTATGTTAAGATCATAAATAAGTTGGCATCTCAATCATGTATTTCTATTTTTGATGGTTCAAATAAAACTTTTTGCTCAGATTATGCACTAGGGAAATGTTTTAAACTTCATTTTTCTAGTACTACTTGTACTATAAGTAAGCTTTTAGAACTTATCCATACAGATGTCTGGGGATCCTCACCTACAGTTTCTCACCTTGGTTTTAGGTATTATGTCATTTTCATAGATGACTATTCCCGATATTGTTGGTTCTATCCCTTAAAGTGTAAATCTGATGCACTCTTCACTTTTATGCAATGGAAATTACTTGTTGAATTCTCTGAGTACAAAAATTATTGCACTAAGGTTTGATTCTAGTAGAGAATTTGTTAGTATTGCCTTCTTTAAGTTATTAGCTGCCCATGGAATTCAACATCAGCTTACTTGTCCCCACACCTTAGAGCAAAATAGGTGTACAGAACGTAAAGACATGTATATAGTTGAGATTGCTCAGACTGTTTTGATAACATCTAAGGTGCCTCATTATTATTAGGTTGAGGCTTTTGCTACATTAGTTTATCTTATCAAAAGATTACTAACTATTTCCAGATCTTTTTAGGAGTCTCTCTCCAAGAAAGTACCAGACTATAAGTCACTCAAGGTCTTTGGTTGCAATTGTTTCCCTTGGCTAAAGCCGTACACATCTTCAAAACTGGATCTTAAAAGCAAGCCATGTGTATTCTTGGGGTATAGCTTAAATCACAAGGGTTATCTGTGTCTTCATCCAACTACTCACAGATTGTATATTTCAAGGCATGTGATCTTCAATGAGTTGACTTTTCCATTTCATGCTCCGCACCCTTCACCCTTCACCATCAAATCTTGTTACCTCCCTATTATACCAATCTCTCATTCTATCATCCCTTACTTTTACTACTTTTCCTCCCCATACCGTATCTACATCATATCCAGTAACCACATTAGCTCCATTAAATCTTGCAACCTTATCAAGCCCTCTATCCACATCCAATTCTGTACCCACATTAAATCCCTAAAATCTTGCAACCTTATCAGCTTCTGCAATTCCATTACATCATACTTCTACCTCTCTTATCAACATCCACCCAATGCAGACAAGATCCAAGTCTGGAATTTTCAAACACAAAGCCCTAACTGCAACTAAGCACTATATTCATCCTCATTTTGTAGTTGATTATGTACCTACAACCTACTTACAAGCTTCTAAACACTATCATTGGCGCATATCAATGCAAGAGGAGTTTAATGCTCTTCTCAAAATTGGTACTTGGTCTCTTATACCCTCTTCATCTTCTCACAATCTTGTGAGATGTAAGTGGGTTTTTCGGATCAAAAGGAAACCAGATGACACTATTGACAGGTATAAAGCCCGTTTGGTTGCTAAAGGGTTTACCAACAAGAAGGCCTTGACTATACTGAAACCTTTAGTCCAGTGACCAAACATGTGACCATTATACTTATTCTAACTCTTGCAGCACAATGTAATTGGTTCCTAAATCAACTAGATGTCAATATTAACTTCCTACATGGCACACTTACTGAATCAGTGTTTATGCAACAACCACCTGGCTTTGAAGATCCATCAAAACCAACTCATGTTTGTCAACTTCACAAATCACCTTATGGTTTAAAACAGGTTATTCGAGCTTGTATGACAAGCTTTATAATGCTTTGCATTCTCTTGGGTTCACAGGTTCTCAAAGTGATCATTCTCCGTTTGTGAATAGATCTCCCACTTTGGTATTCATCTTAGTCTATGTGGATGACATACTGGTAACTGGTCCATCCCTTGTAGCCTGCCTGTCAAGAAGTTATAACATAACTTAGTGCTCTTTTCCCCTTTAAGGATCTTGGTGCTCTTCACTAGTTTGTTGGCATTGAAGTCAAAAGATCATCAACAGATTTCTTTATATCTCAAACAAAATACATTTTGGATCTCTTAACAAAAGAAAAAAATGGAAGGAGCTAAACCTTGCAGCACTCCTCTAAGTACAACCAAGCTTGATCATTCATCTCCTCTTCTTGAAAATGCTTTTGAATATTGATCTTTAGTTGGAACTCTTCAATATTTAACTTTGACACGACCTGATTTTAGTTTTGCAGTCAATTTGGTGTGTCAGTTCATGCACAGTCCTAGAGTTTCACATATGCAAGCAGTTAAACGCATCCTTATATATCTCAAAGGTTCCCTTAATCTTGGTTTATGGTTCTCCAAGTGTTCCAAAGCTCCATCTATTCAAGCATTTTCATACACCGATTGGGCAGGGTGTTCTTTGGACAAAAGATCCACTGGTGGTTACTGCATATTTTTTGGCAACTCACTAATTAGTTGGAGTGCTAAGAAGCAACCCACTGTTGCTAGATCATCAACAAAAGTTGAATATTGATCTCTTGCAAATGCAGTTGTTGAATCACTTAGCTATGCAAATTGCTTGTTGATATTGCTTATCCTCTGCCTTATTCTCCACAGTTGTGGTGTGATAATGTCTCTGCCATATTCTTAGCAAAGAATCCTATTTCCATGCTCGGACTAAGCCTGTTGAAATCGATTATCATTACATTCATGAAAAGGTTCTGGCAAACCAAGTATCTGTGTATTTTGTTTGTACACAGGATCAAGTAGCTGATGTTTGTACCAAGTCTCTATCCAACTTCAGGTTCTTGCTTCTGAGATACAAACTTCAACTGAGAGTTCCACAGTTTCGTTTTTTTTTGGGGGGGGGGGGGGAGGGGGAGATATTAAGGATAAAAATGTAATTACACCTACAAGAGATAATACTTAGAGGTTAAGGAATCTTATTAGTTAGTTTTGGAGGTTTTCTTTTCTGTTAGCTATGACAACTTTTGTATAAATACCCAAAGTGTAATGTTATTCATTTTATCAATGGAAAAATACTTTTCCTAATAAATGGTTTAGGTTCTACAAAAAAAAACTTAAACGCTTAATCCAACGGTCACATGGTTTCAAATTCGAGTGGTTTTTGGTAGATATGATCTTTGAGGAAAGATCTAAAAGATAGATGGTTCGGATTGTTGAAATACATTATGAAGTGAGTCCTACAAAAAAGTGTGTAAAAAATTATTTACAAAAAAAAAAGGTAGTGTCACGGATATGTCTCCTGTATAATCCTTGTATTCGTCAAGAAGGTGTAGATTTATCAGTGCAATGTAGTAAACATTATTGCTGGAGGCTGATTTTCTTCTTTTCTTTGTTGGTGTGCTTGGTTACCGTACTACAGATGACGAGGTGGTAATGGCAATGGAGATGGAGGGTAGGTCTTTGAGGGTGACGACAAACGACTACGACGACCCAACTGCAAATCGTGGGCATGATCCCTCCGCCTTCGCCCCCTCAAGGGTCAGGTCTGGCGGCGGAGGTGGCCGAAAAGGCTAAAGCTAATAGACCAATACATTGCTCAATGCTTGATTCAGAAGGGCTAATGTAATGCTTCATATATAACATGTTTTAATTTGCTTTTTTAATTGGCGTAACCAAATTGGTGTATCAAAAAAAAAAAAAAATGGTATTCAAATCTTTTCTATATTAATAAATAAGTGATGATGCAAGCCTTTACGGTCTTCGTCATATTTTCTTGATACCATTGTCGGCTCGGAAGAAGCGTAGTGGATACAGCGAAGGGTTAGATAAGTAATCATGCATAAGCTGAATATGGCTCTCTTTCCCTCTCAATTTCCTTTTTGTTGGCGTAGGTGCCACCGCATTTTGGCGTGACTAGGTGCCTGCCACCGTTGGTATGAATCCTACTACTGGGTGATGCTGGCAGCATTGAGGCGAGACCAAACTGCGGTGGCAATGATGATGTGGCGGTGGCGAGTGCTGTCATGGTTAAGGATTGGATTCACTGGATGGTTGATGGTGGCAGTGGCGATTCAACATATGCCTCCCGGTTTCAAACAAAAGGGTTACAGAATACGTTCTTACTTCTTGCTGTTTATACTTTATAGGACATATATTGTGTCTATTTATATGAATATTTATGTGATTCAGTTTCCTTTTGGATTTCATTCTTGAACTGCAGCATTGTCGTCACGTCGTATTATCGTCCTGCTGTGTTAGTTGAGGTTCTTTACAAGTACGTAAAGTTCCAACTCGAAATTTGGTCAAATTTCTTGTTACGAAGCATAAACTGGCATCTCCATTTCCCTTGGGTTAGAAGTTTTGAACAAAAGAAAAACACGCATTACATTTCCAAAACACCTCCATAGACTCAAGAAAATTGAAATGCACATTCAAATTCCATTTCCATCCGAGGCAGTTCCGGTATGCAGAGCGTAACTAGAGCCGGTACAGGATCAAGTACACAAAAAAATATACTAATACACTCAATATGACAAACCAAATCCAGGGAACAATTTTACTTTTGAGTAGATACGGACACTGTATTCCGTGACATGAAACTATAGTAGCATGCAGAATCAGATTGTCGTTCAAAACCTATCAGCAAAACATTCTATCTATTGGTGTCTCTAATCTGTATAACAGTGATGGGTAACAAATTTATTAAAACTTCGAAGCCTTTGAACCTACCGAGCAAGTATGCGAGCCAGTGTGCAAGCTTGAAACTCCAACCGCAAGCATTTGGGCTTTCCAAACCCAGCTAGTAGACTAAGACCATAACGCTGAGTCTGTGATTCTTGAACTACCCAACTTACTTGCAATGGCATCTCTTAGTTCAAGCTCGCCCGGAAATCTTCCCTCCTTCAGCTTAGAGAAAACCTGCAACATACAAGAGAACATAAGCTAACACTCAATCATATGGCCAAAGGAGAAAAAAAGGACTTTAGCGAATAGGAATGGTAATCTAGCTCCCAGAAAACATATGGCCAAAGAAAAAAGGGTTTGCTCACCAATTCATCGTTGAGGTAAACTTCGAAAGCACCAGTGCCTTGGAGGAAGGACTGCAATGCATTGCCAAGAAGCAAAGTGGATGCAATGGTACCAAATCTATTTGCACGCAGAGAATAATACCAAGCAGGAGGTGTCGCAAACCCCAACATCGGAAAAATATGCTCACCCGCCATTACAATCCCAAAAACTCCAACTTGAGCAACCGGAACGAGCTTGCTGACCACACGCTTTGGAAGGGGCGGAGGATAGTTCGAAAGATCAACATGGATTCCAGGGAAAGCAGCCTCCAACATCTTCGTCACTGTTACCGCATTCCCCCTACCAAATGCAAATTCCTTCGATATGTAAATATAGCCCAATCCCAAGGATCCAATCTAACATGTTAAGAGCAAAACAAGTAGAAAACCACACCTTTATCGGAACACTAATCGGGAGCTAACAGATAAAATCAAGAGCATTTTACGGCTTAACGGATAAATCCCAGGACCCCAATAACACTTCAATTTCTATTGAATAACTGTTCAAATTGATCTTCTATCATCCCACATCATAATTCGAAATAAAATTAAAAACACAATTCAATAAATCACAAAAGAAACAAGTATAATTGATCTTCTATCATCCCACATCATAATTCGAAATAAAATTAAAAACCCAATTCAATAAATCACAAAAGCAACAAGAGAAATACTTGTAAGAGCAAGAAGTGCAGAAGCTAATTTTGACCGTGCTGCCGACGCCGATTGCCCCAAAAGCGCTTGGTTTCTGAAATCCGATAAAACCAAAGAAATACAGAGGGAAATTATAATACGATGAATATGTGGAATCAATTGCAATAAATTATGGGAAGTGAAGAGGAATTCAGAGTGAAATACCTCTGAGGGGAAGTCTAGGGTTTCTTTGGCGACTGGAGGAGGCTGGTGTTGGTGTTGGAGGTGGGGATGGGGATGGGGATGGTGGTGGTGAGGAGGCTTGTGGGGCGGAGGAGGGGGCGGAGTAAAGAGGTTTAGGAGGTCTGTGCAGAAGAGGAAGAGTGGTAGCCCTAGCAGAACAAGCTGTGCTCGATCCATTGCTGCAGTCTACAGAAAATGTGTAGAGAGACAGAGTTGGAGACGAAAATGGTTCTTCTGTTTAGCCTTCTTTGATCGACTCTACTGGTAAGTAGGGGATAATATTATTTGGGCCTTTGGAGAATTTGGGCTCATTTCCTCTTGCTTAACTCAAATACATTTGGGCTTCTTGGCCCATAACTAGCACATTGATGGTCAATTATGTCCTTAGACTATCTAACTTACATAGGAATATAAATTAGAGAACTTTAACGAAAATCTCCCGTACTGTTTATTTTATTGCAAAACTACATTTTTACATTAAAAATTCAATCATAGTACTATTCACTTTATCCTTTATTTTGTCATTATCGTTAAAACTCAAAGTTTTCAAGTCATTTTCATTAGTTTCCTTATAAATTAATCCCCTTGTGGGATTCTTCAATATAAGTTTTGTCAAATCGAACTGTTAAAAAGAAGATCCAAACGACTGAAATTTAAATTCAATAGTCAAACAAGAAAAAACAAATTTGATGTGTGTATAAAAATTTGGTTAGTTAGTGTATATTGAAGTTTGGTTGGTTCGGTTTTGAAAATTTTGTCAGAAATTAAACTTAGGTTTAAACATTCACTAAAATTAAGATAATATAACTCAAAGGTACAAAAAAAATTCTTACTGAAAAAATAATATTGTTAAAATCTTTCCGCAATAATTAATATATCTTAAGTCGTGAAATTTAGGTTCGGAAAATGGACCTGGTTTCTCTGCCCTCCCACTTCCCATACACTCTCATCCCCTCCTATTTGTGCGGTCACGGTTTTGCATTTTTCAATCAAGTTATACCCCTCATGCTGAATTTTTTGTATTTTTCAATCAAGTTACACTCTGCATGCTGAAGTTTTTGCTCTGTGTGGAAAATTTGATGTTTGAAATTGTAGTTTCTTTTGATAGTGTATAACTTCCATTTCTTTTCCACAGTATGGTATATTGATATTTTTTTCTTTTTTTTTTTCTTTTTTTTGTTCTTGGATAGTAAATGGTGACCTGGGTAGTTTTAGATTGACTGGTTTAGTGACTTTGTGGGTAAAAGTTTGAATCTTTTGGGTAAAAATTTGGCAATGGGTAATTCTTACTTGATTGAACTTTTGCTTTTCTGTAGTGAAAAATGTGAATTAATTAATTAGCTTCTGTGTTGTTATTATTTGGTAAAAAGTTTGATTGATTTATTATTTGGTAATTCTTCCCACAAACTACAGTTATTGATTGCTAAAGTTTATTCCCACTAATTTCTGGGTATGTTCATTGCTCATTTGATTGTTTCTCTCAGTCAGGAGTTCGTCTTGTCCGTGGGATCGTTAAGGATGTCAAGGATAAGAAAATAATTCTTAATGATGGCACAGAGGTTCCTTATGGTCTTTTGGTATGGTCTACCGGTGTTGGTCCATCACCTTACTCCTTGCTGCTTCCAAAATCTCCTGGTGGAAGGTGATGCTTAAATTTGTTTCCAATGGAATGAGTCTGTTCCTCCTCTCAACTACTGGAGCGTCTAACAAATCTAAGCTTATGAGTTTTCATAAATTTTGGTACCTTCTGGTGAACATATTCGCCCCCAAAATTTCAGTTTATATTTTTCCACTTCCTCCTCTGCAACACAAATCTTTCATTTCAATATCATCTGTCTTTGTCTGCTTTACATCTCTTCGTATCATAAGGTTTCGGTCTGCAGCTAAAGGGCAGCTGAATCTTTATGCACATCTGTTTAAAATATTTGAAGGTTGCAGAGAGGCAAGGAAAGTATTTGGCCAATCTACTGAACAAAATTGGTAAAGCTGGTGGAGGGCGTGCGAACGCTGCAAGAGATTATAAATACAAGGAACCATTTGTGTACAAGCATTTAGGAAGCATGGCGACTCTTGGGAGATACAGGGCTCTCATGGACCTCAGACGGAGCAAGGTGAATTTCAAGCCACTTCAAAGCCGCTGCTCTCGCACTTTAAGCTTAAGATAACTCATCTTTGTAGCGTATTTATTTGCAGGCGGGTAATGGCATATCTATGGCCGGGTTCTCTAGTTGGTTTAGTTGGCGTGGCGCGTATTTAACCCGAGTCATAAGCTGGAGGAACAGATTCTATGTGTTGATTAACTGGCTTACAACATTAGTGTTTGGGCGTGATACAAGCAAAATCTAGATTTGGCAAGGAAGCGCAGATACCTAGTAGCATGAGTACTACTACTAGGTGATGCTGGCGGCAGAAGTGGGATCAAACTGCGGTCGCAATGATGATGTGGCGGCGGTGAGTGCTGTGATGGTTAACGGTTGGATTCAATGGATGGTAATGGTGGTAGAGGCGATTGAACCGCTCCCACAAACAAATAAACAAATGAAAGTTGAATATAAAGTATAAGAGATGATGGAGGAATGATACGATTGCTATGTTTTGTGCCATATCAGTTGGTTTAGTTCAGTATGTTGCTGCCCTTAATATCACTCTACTTGTGTGCATTTCTAAGAACATGTGCCTCCCGGTTTCGAACGAGGACGTATATTGTGTCTATTTATACGAATACGAACGTGATTCGGTTTCCTTTTCGATTTCATTCTTGAACTGCAGCATTGTCATCACATCGTATTATCGTACTGCTGTGTCAGTTGATGTTCTTTACAAGTACGTACAGTTACAACTCGAAACAGTACTGAGATTTGTTTCCATCGCAATTCTCTTGGCAATATAACCACCGTCTTCGGCTATTTCTTGATATGAAACGTAGACGGGCTTCTCCCTTGGGCTCAGTTCGTTCTGCGTAACTCAAATAGATTTGGGCTTCATGGCCCATAACTAGCACATCGATATCCAATTATGTCTATAGATTCGCATTTTCTTTGGATAATTATGTTGAAATAATTATGAAAGGATTCAGGTTTGCAAGGAGCTTGTAGATCAGTTAATTAATAATTATGTGTTTGAAATCGGAATAAGAAGAAATTAGGTTACGGAGGAATCGGAGTGAGAATAAACAAAAAATGTGACATTTTTAATTAAAGTATAGACTATCTACCAGAAGTCGGAATATAAATTAGTTTGATTGCTGAAATACTCTTTGCAC